AGCGAATATGGCACTAGTGCTACCAGGTAAATATTTTTCAATTATTTTATTATTTTTTAATCATTTGTTCGATAAAATTGTCCTCCAAATACAACTCGCAATTAAAAATATATGTCGAATATTTTAAGGTGTGTAATAGCAAATATTATTTGTAGTTGCAAATAGTACTCGTGGTAAATAATTAGGGGGCATCCATTAATTACTTGAGGCCATTTTGATTTTTTAGTACTATTTACTAAACAGTTCTCTTTACATGGTTATTAATTGCTATAAAAGTTAGCCACTTTTTTGTAAAACCAGAACAACTTTTGTAATACTTTACTAACTTTATAACAACCATTACTAACAGTTTGGGAATAATAGTATTAGTAATATATTATGTATATTTTTTATTTTATCCTCTTTTCTACCACTTTGCCCCTAGGGGATCCATGCAAATATATAAATCTGTTATAAATGGAATACACTAAAAATTGTAATCCACGAACAAATAATTGTAATTACTTATTTTAGCTCCTCTGCCAACCTCGCAAATTTATTAAAAATAAAATAAATTTATAATTGAATTCTGGAACCAAATAATAATACATATTTACAGGAAACCCAACAAATTAAAAAAAGGTGTAGTTCCGCGGTTTTAAAAATTGTATGTCGCTTTGGACTGCAACAGCAATTTATAGATCAGTAAACTGCTACAATAAAATATCCTCTAACATATAGTGCTTTTATGATTAATTTCTAAAGCCGCCGTATATTTATAAAAATATATTGTACGCGCGTTGTCGAGCCCAGCAGTGTTGCCAAGTTTAGGGGCTGATAACGATACGTTAATATAAATGTATAAATATATACTCAGAAGCGCCCCCTACAGTGAAATTCTCCAAACTTTTTGTATAAATGAATGCATAAATGGTACTTTTTGAGGCCCATCAAAAATTTTAACAGGAGGGTGCAGAAAGAAAGGAGAATCGAATGGCTACTATATACTCGGGCTCCGTTGTAAAGCCCAAAGCCGGGTTTTATAACGTCGCTTTGGGCTTTAAAACGTATTAATGTTATCTTGTGCGGGCCTGTATAAGAGCGAATATACGTCTATATATATATATATATATATATATATATATATATATATATATATATATATGGGTCGTGGCCTCGCCTCCATCCAACGCGCGACACAGTAGCTAAGCAAATAGCCTGCATCGCTAATGAGATTTTTTGCATTATTATCATTTATGTATACTTTTGTATATTTTGTATTATATGTTCTGTATTGTACTGAATATGCAATAAAAACTTTATTTATTATTTATTTATTACCATTTAATTTTTTAAGTCGTCTTACCTTCTCGACCTTTCGTTATGTCGTTTATCACACAAGCTACTGTGACGCGCCTTGGAGGGAGGCGAGGCCTCGCCCCATATATATATATAGATATATTCGGTTTTACTCTGACCGGGCTGTATCTCAGTTTACGTGTTCAAGGGTTTTCCGAAAAAATATATTATTACATATTATATATATTTAATAATAAATAAACGCTCGAAAAAAAAAACTTTTATAGGAATTTTTTTTTGTAATTAAATAAAAAATATGCTGAAATACCGTATTTTTGTAAGTATACCCATTCTGTTAAATAATCAAAAATGGGTCATTTTTACCAACTTTAGACCTTGTATCTTCGTTACTGTTCGTTTGATTTGTACAAAATTTTCAGGGTATACTAACAAAAATACGGTCTTTAACAGCATATTTTTTATTTACTTAAAAAAAATCCCTAAAAGTTATTTTTGAACGTTTTTTTATTATTAAATAAAAGGGCTTTAAAAATATTTTTTCGAAAAACCCTCAAACACGTATTCTTAACTATACAAAATTTCATTTGAATTGGTAATTGGTAAAGGCGTTTTAGAGTTAGATTTTTTTTATTTATTATGCGTTAATTTTGACGGGTAGTGTAGATTAGTAGTGGAGATTAGAAATAAGTTAAGAAATTTTAAATTATATTGTACTTGTGAACCTGCCCTTATTGCAATTACATCGCACATGGGCGACAACAGTGTCATAAGTAGTAAAACCTTTATTCCAAGATAATGACCGTAAAAGATTTTTGAATAATAAAATTCGGAAATTTTTGTAAAATTATATTAACTTACACTGTTGTCGCCCATGTGCGACATGTTATCTACGGTGTTACCATCAAATATGGCAAAATTGTTTAATTTGTGCTTATTTTGTATATTAGATTTTAATGTTTATGTTGCAATTTTTTGTCACCATGTTTTTATAAATTCAATACAAAAAAATTAATTTGCGGTTCATATGTTAGGTAACGTATCTGATTTACCAGACAACAAAATCAATTGTTTCTGTACGAACATTTTTGTGAAATGGTGTACAGCTTAGTATCAAAATTATTTTTATGTAGGTACTAAAAAATTTAACAGCCAATTCTTGTGTAAAATTGTCCCCTGAATCTGAAAATACCGTCAAAAATTATTATATTCTATATTAAATGGAAAATTGACTATATCTCAAAAACTGTTCTACTTTTTTACTGTTAAATTTTGGGATACCATGGTATCCCATGGTTAACCATGGTACAAGTTAAATAGCAGCCACTAATAACTGTAGTAATTAGTCATTTTTGACTAATTCATTTTTAGAGACTATGGTACAAAAAATGGTTAAGCATGGTACAAGTGAAAAAACAGCCACTAATAACTCTAGTAATTAGTCATTTTTGACCTATTCATTTTTAGAGAGCATGGTACACAAAATCAAAGTGTCCACAGAACGTCTGCGGAGTTACGATGATACATCCAGATAAAAACTTCACTGAAAGAAATATATGTTTGTTATAGCAATGTATGTGGTAGTCCATATATGAAACATAAAATATATTTGCCTTAACCATATTTATATTTGCCTTAACCATATTATGTTAAAACTAAATATAAAAATGGTTAAGGTAAATATATTTTATGTTTCATATATGGACTACCACATACATTGCTATAACAAACATATATTTCTTTCAGTGTTGTCATACTGATGTTCAGAATATTGTGAACAAATAAAAAAAACTCGCATACTGCAGTATGCCATGGTAGAGAGTGCTCAAATAGAGGTAACCATTTTTAAAATTTGTATTCATTTTTTAAAAGCGTATAAACATACAAAAATTTAAGGCCTAATGTATAAAAACTAAAAAACTAAAAACTTGCAATTCCCCCTTCTATAGAAGGCTGAATGTTTTTTTAATTCTCTCCAAATATGTAGAATTTTTCGAAAGGCCTGTTTGTCTAGATGCATCTAGAAGCATCTAGACAAACAGGCCTTTCGAAAAATTCTACATATTTGGAGAGAATTAAAAAAACATTCAGCCTTATAAAATGAAGACTTAACAAGCGTTAAGTGATGATTATCCAGATCGAAGAATTAAGTTTGGTAAAATTATGACGGCGAGAATTAATAAAGATCCTACATTTTTTCCTAAATGGACAGGTCAATAGGCAAAATTGTAGGTACTGGAGTGATGAAAATACTCACATTTTTGTAGAGAAGGATATTTAGCACCCTCAAAAATTAAATGATTGGGACGGCATTTTGTGAAATAAAATCGTTGGCCCAATTTTTATTGAATGTAATAACTACTTAAATTTACTAGTAGATATTGAACCTGATACTTGGTAAGAAGACCAATGGTCTTAGACCATTTACTTCCAACAAGACGGCACCACCAAATTATGCATTTCCAGTCAGAAATTGGCTTAACTTTCCTGGCAAATAGAATAGCCGAAGAGGACCGTTAAAGTGGCCCCCAAGATCTCCAGATTTAACGACCTTGGACTTTTATTTATGGGGATACAGTAGATCGAAACTTTTGAAATAGTACGACATAAAATTGATAATCTTCTTAACTATTGTCTTTAAAATAATGATGAAAATTTTGAACATTAATTATAATTATTATATTATAATATATAATAGTTATTTATGTCATTAGGTTAAGAAGTAAGGCTTTTTGTGCTAAGCTCAAGGTTTGATGGCCGACGCGTAGCGGAGGCCTACAATTGAGCGAAGCACAAAAAGGCACTTCTTGGCCAAATGGCATACAACATTTTATTTTCAAAGCACTTTATATAGGTCAATTTAATTCAACATCAAAGCGGCCTAACCTCACTTTTTTAGAATCTCATTTATTTATTAGCTAAAGATTACATTAAATGTACAATAATTATTATTGCTTTTAGAAGCAGTAATAGTTTGACAATACCTAGCAACATGATTTAAGTAGAAATGGATTTTTGCTATTACATTGAATTCAATTAGGTAATTGTTTAATAAATAGGTAGGTAGGTAATTTCAATTTGTTTGGATTTTTATTTAAAAAATAGGTAGTATACTATCCATATATGGAATGTTTAAGCTGTGTTTAACATTTAATTTCACTGAAAACTTAAAGCAAATTAAAACTTAAAGATAATTTAAATCGTAGAAAAAGAATCGTGTGTTTTCTTGGTTGCCTAACCTTTTTGTTTTATTATTCATATTTAATTTTACAATAATTTAATGAAAAATATTAAACATTAACAGTAAAACAAACAAATTAGTGCTTATTATAAATAAATTAAACCAGTTTAGTACCTTAATTTCTTAGAAAAGGATTAATTTGTCAAAACAATACCCCTAGCGAGAAAAAGTCGAACTAATTACTTGCCTCATAAAAATTTGTATCGGCCTAGGCCATAACAAGGTATATCTTTATCGAATGTTGACAACAATAAAGTTTAAATTATCGACCGCGTGGAGATAAAATGTTTTACATTACAATAAATATTAATTAGTGCTCCCCAGAAACAATAGAAACAGAAATATTCAGAGAATCAAAAGACCTTGTTCGTTACTTTAACTTTACAAATAAGATTGTTAATATTTTGTCATTTTAAAGTATTGATTTTTACTTTTGTCAATTTTATAATCTATAAAAACTTACTTTGGGTCTCTCATCGGGGGGAATCCATTTTTTAAATATAACTGGTTTGGGGGCTTCATAGACGGGTTTTTTCTTTGGAAGAAATACTTTAGGTTTTGGTGGTTCTTCAATGGGTTCAGGTTCCGGTTCTCCTTTACCACCTTTTCCCTTTCCTTTACCCACCGGTTCTAAACGTATAAAACATTATCAAATTGGAAAAAAATAAATAAATTTCGGTCACCTGGAGCTTTAACACCTTTTTTAGCATCTCCTTTAGCATCTTTCATGTTTAATTTAGACCCCGGCTTAACATTTTGTTGTTTGGTTGGAGGGGGAGGTATTTTTGAGGGTGCTTTTTTTAGAGCTTTCGTGTCAACATTCGGGGGTCTGCAAAAATATTATTTTTAAATCTGTATTTTTTATATTGCATATTGTATAATACTTACGCCATTTTTCTAAGTGTTTTTTTTATTAAATTTTACAACAATTTTGAGATATTTCCGAAATTATTAAAATATTTTGTCACTTTCACATTTTAATTTAGTAAAGTCATAATGACAGTTTATCAATAAATTGTTTTTTATTGTTCTCAAAACATATGTCTTAAAATTAATTTGTGAAATTGTTCTCGAAAATTTTCGTGTAATATGGATAAATTTTGCAGGTAAAATATACCATTTTACAATACAACTTTATTTTTTAAATTTGTCTGATTTCATATTTTTGATAATTGGTTATGTAAAATTCTTTTTACCAAAGAGTAAGAAAAGTAATATGATGTATTTTTACAGAGATTCTAAAAAACGCGATGCCAAAGTGATTTCAAATGTCTACAAAAAGATCAAAGATTTAAGGTCTTTGGAAGCCAATCCTTTAAAGAAAAAACGAAGAAAAAAACATGTTGAAGAAGTTCCGGCCATTGAAGAATGTCCGTCCATGCCTGTGACCCCATCTTTTGGGTAAGTACCTTAAAAATATTATACAGGGTGTAGGTAAAAAGGTCTTTACATTATTTTGCTTTTGGTGAATTCCAAATGTATTTTGTGTTATTGGCGATTTTTTGTCCACTTAAGAGTATATTTCCTATTATGATTATTATTATGATTTGTAAAAACCTTTTGCAGACACGTGTATTTTTGTGCTCATGAGCAGAACCTTTCCCATTATTTGACCTTTTGGAACAATCTTTGAAAATAGTTTTTTCTTACAGTACACGACAAAAATTGCAATATCAACCCCAAACCATGGTTAGTAACGTATGTGATGGGATGAGAAACAAAACAGAATATATTAACCCTAAAGCAGTGAAAACAAAAAAACTTAGGGAAACACCCAAATATAAAAGGATAATAAAGGCTTGCAAAAAAGAAATTATTGAATTGATAGAACCTACACCAAAAAAAGGCACACCCAAAGTAAGATTACATTTTTTATAGTAATCTGCTAAATTCACAATCTTAAAAATCTATCAACGGTTGTGCTTTCTCTATAGAGACTCTTAAACTCATACTCGCACAAGAGATTTCTCAACTGCCTTTCATCTTAAGTAGAGATTTTAATTTTGCCCATTTGCGTATAACTGGCCCATTGCCTCATATCTCCCAAAGATTACTGTTTGCAGTTGGGGAGTTGTTAGTTCGCATAGAGGTAGTCGTAGTCTACATTTTGTCCTTCGTGTAAGTACTGACTTTATAGAAGATTTAGAGTCGTTATTTTACTAAGATAAAAAATAGGAAAAAAATAGTAAACAGTTATTCACAAATTATTTGCCCTATTGTACCAAAACGTTAACTTGTATTCATTACCAAATTATTACCGTCTACACAGTAAAAAAAATCAACTCTAAGCAACACTAATTAGAGTTCACACAGGTCCACACTAAGTAGTGTTGTTTTATAACACTACAATTAGAGTTCATTTGTAGTGTAATTTTCCCCAAGTAAGCAAGTATGATTTAACACCAACACCCACTTCCTGGGTAAAATCCCACTTTTGTTCAGTGTAAATTAACACTACTTTGGAAAAGTTCTAATTTTAGAAAGGTACTTTTACTCTTTTAGTGCAAACTTCTAGTGTAAATTAACACTATTATTTGAGAAAAACCTATTGGTGGTAGTGAATAAAACGAAAAGGTAAATAAAGAGAAACATTTATTTGGAACAAAAATCTATGACAATTATCAAAATCGGTGCCTTTTAAAATATAATTTTATATTTGAGTCGTATGGCTGGCTTAAGCAAAATGGTTTCTTAAAACGTAAAAGTTTTAGATCAATGCAATGTTTTACTGGCTGTCAACTTGTAAGCAATGCATTTTCTTGAGAATTCATCAGTAATCCATCTTTCTGTTATAAAAAATGGGTGATCCCATTGGTAGAGAGTCGTCAGGCGGCTGTATGTCGGGGATTTACCACACGTGTACAAATTTTCCATAATAATAATAAAAATTTAGGTATAGGTTAATATAACAACCATTACGCTTGAAAATAAAAATTAAATCAAGTGTGTATATATTTATATTATTAATGTTACAAGTACCAGACCTACTGCCGTAAATTATTGATATATAATATAGGTCGGGTATGGACATCCTTTTAACATATTGGTATTTATTGAGTATTAAGGCTTAAAGAAAAAGGACCAAAAAATAAGAATGTCCCCTTATGGATTCACCATAATTAAAATCTAACTGAACAAAAATGCCACACTTCCACAACGCGGTATCTCCGGATATGCACTGCGTAGGTAGATAGGTACCAACCAAACATTTTAAAACGCATTTCGATTATTACCAGTTTTTTTAGTCTATTTTGCCACTATTGGTGTAATTTAACTTTAATTGTGATACAATATGCACTGGTAGTGTAAAGAAAAAATAGCTCTTAGTAACATCAAAACAGACAAAGAAATTGGCATGCACTGTAGTGTACATTTTGTCACTATTTAACACATTAAGTGGTAATAAACACTCGCATTAAGTTTTTCTACCCTTTTGATTTATTTTAATAATAAATAGTGTGAATGTACCAATGAATAATGTTCATATTCTTTAAATGTGTTTAATAAAGTTAATAAGCACTAAATGATACCTAGTGTATTGCGTAGTGTAACTTTTACACTTACAAATCAACTCTAATATTTTTACCCCTACACTAAAAAATTTACAAGGGCAAAAATTTTTACTGTGTAATTCGTGATTTGGGGAATTAGGTCATGCAATTAATTATGAGTACTTATCGGTTTTTCCAGATAATGACCCTTTTCACTCTTGGTTATCCTTGTTTCTTCTTCAGGTAAGGTGCTTCCTATTGGCAGGTGGTTGATCCGCCAGGTATGCTGTCACTTATCACTTCTCACTTAATCACTTTCGTAGGTATCTGTAAGGTGATCTTTATTTCACTGTAGATACTATGCACCAGTGGCGCGCAGTACCATTTAAAATGGTTTATGCAACAGAATCAAAAATTTCTTTCTTTGCCCAAGAGTAAATGGCGATTGGCGATTAAGATGATATTATATTTTTATTATACTTTTTAATAAAATTATAATTTATTTAATCGGAATTAAAATTAAATGGGAAAATATAAAAAATATCATTGTATGCACGCCACTGCTATGCCCTATAGTTTATTTACACTGTAGATGTATACTATTTAGTGGGTCGTGTATTTTGAGAGAGATATCGGTAACGTATGTCGTCATCAAGAGTTCGAACGTAAATACCTACCAATTTAAAAAAATATTTATTAATAAAAATAATTTCAACAGTGTCAAATTTTTAGCTTCAAACTGCTTCAGCCGAATTTAAAGGTGAAGTAAAGGTGCAACCTAAAATGGCCACCCCTAGCCCTAGCTTTTTAATACCCCCCACCGAAAGTGTATTAATGAAAATGAAGCCGCGTACTGGACCTATGATAAGACAATACGAGTCTAAAAATAGTGTGACCAAATTTGATGGTATGAATGATTATTCCTCATTTGACTTGGTTTCAACAAAAACTCCTAGACCTGCCGAAAAAATGTAAGTATATTTTTTGTTTTTATAGATACGAGCTCTTAATGTTTCGTGAGATCTAAAACAAATTTTATAATTGCGTTAAGATAACTTATACCGTTTTCAAGATACTTGGTCTTTTCTAAGATAATGAAAGATATCTCGATAACCGTTTTAGATATTTAAATTATGTTTTCACCATCCTGATCTACGTTAAATTTTATGAAATATTACAAAAAATTACAAATATATTTTTATTTGTTATTTATTTCTTTTTTTGTTTTTCTGGGTGCGTTTTTAAGATGTTTTTTTAATTTATTTGTGCTAGTCTAGTAAAAGATATCTTAAATATTTTCGAAATACAAATCCTTAAAATGCATTGTTTAAGAAATCTTTTACAATCCTAAACTTTCTAAAGTATTTAAAAAAATTCCGAGGGATCACCCACACCTGGGAATCCCTGGACATTTTAGAGGGGGAATTCCATAGGAATACAATGGAAATACATAGGAATACAATAAAATATAATGGGAATACATGGGAATCCCTGGACGTTTTCCCTTTGGGTGGTTGACCTCTCGAAAAATTCCAAATCCATAATTAAAAAAAGGTTAAACTTTTTTTGAATATATAGCAAAAAACCTTTATGTATTTTTTATTTTCGAGACCCGTCTTTAAAATATTTTGTTGTTTTTTTTTAATTTCATTGTGCTTTTAAAAGTAAAAATATCTTGGACTATTTTTGAGACACAACTCCTAAAAATGCATTGTTTAAGATAATAGAAGATATCTTGATAACGGCTAAAGATATTTTTTTACTCATAATCTTCCTTAAATTTACTAAACTATTGCAAAAAATTGCATATAATTTAAAAGAAAGGTTATTGCAAAAATATTCGTTTTTCTGTTTTTGAGGCACGTCTTTAAGATGTTTTGTGTTTTTTTTTAATTTTCATAGTCATTTTAATACACTCACAGGCAAAATAATCGATCCACACAAATTTGAAAGCCGTATATGACATGTCCAAGTATGGGATGATTCAAAAAAACTGTCACTGTCAATGACAGTCTGTCATCCTCCATAGGCTATGGATGGACCATAGCAACCTTAGTTATTTATACAAAAATATTGGAAATTGCAATGTTTTTTTAAAAAAATCCATATTTTCCACAAAAATAAATATATCAAGGTAAACCAAACACAAAACTATTAAAAATAGATGTGACTAGATAATTAAAATTTAATTTAGAACAATATACGGTTTTGCCACTCTACAGAGTGTCTTAAACTTATGGTAAAAAACATCTTTTTGTTTAAACCTGTATATTATAAACGTACGTGTATTTTTTAGTAATTTTTAAAATGTGAGCGATTCTCCATTAATGTATCTACAATATTCGTTAATATTTGTTTAAATCCGAATTCAAATAAAAAAGTTATTTGCGATTGAAATTCATCGAAAATTTGTGTGGATCGATTATTTTGCCTGTGAGTGTAGTAATATTGCCCTTGACTTGAACTATTTTTTAGATACAGGGACTTTTTCATTCATTGTTTAAGATAATGGGGGAGATCTCGATAACCGTTTAAGATATTTAAATTATGTTTTCAGCATCTTGATCTACGTTAAATTTTATGAACTTTTGTGCAAACTTGCAAATTTATAATATGAAAAAAAATTGTTTATTCTTTATATATTTTTTGGTTTTCTAGATTTTTTGTGTTCTTTTAAAATTTATTTGTGCTTTTAATAGTTAAAATGCCTTTAAGATATATTATACTATTTTTAAAATACAACAAGATAATTAATCTTAAATTTTCTAAAATCTTGAAAAAACTGCAAATCCATAAATTGGAAGAAAGGTTATTGCAAAAATGTTTTTGTTTTGTTTTTCGTTTTTTTGTTTTCGAGACACATCTTTAGGATGTTTAGTATTTTTTTTAAATTTCATTGTGCTTTCAATAATAATAATGTCCTTGACTTAAACTATTTTCGAGATACAGGGACTTTTTTAAGACAACCACTTAAAATGCATTGTTTAAGATAATCTTAATCTTAAATTTTCTTCATAATATGAAAAAAGTTTGTTTGTTCTTTATATCTTTTTTATTTTTCTACATCTTTTGGTTTTTTTTTAAATTTGTTTGTGCTTTTAATAGTTAAAATTCCCTTAAGATATTTTAAACTATTTTTGAGTTAGAACTCCTTAAAATGCATTATTTAAGATATCTTGATAACGGTGTAGGATAAATCATTTTTTTACAATTTTAATCTTAAATTCTCAAAAAAAATTGCAAATCCATAATTTAGAAGTTATTGCAAACTTAAAATGCATTCATTGTTTAAGATAATAAAGTATATCTCGATAACCGTTTAAGATATTTAAATTATGTTTTCACCACCTTAATTAAGGTGGTGAAAACATAATTTAAATATCTTAAACGGTTATCAATATTTCATAACATTTAACGTAGATTAATCTACGTTAAATGTTAGGTATGAAATATTGCACCAAATTGCAAATCCATAATATGCAAAAGAAGTTTTTTATATTTATGTTTGTTTTTCTAGATTCTTATTTTAAGATGTGTTTTTTTATTTTGTTTGTGCCCTTAAGATATCTTAAACTTTTTGATATATCTTGATAACGGTTTAAGATACTTTAATTTGGTTTTTACAATCTTAATCTTCTTTAAATTTTCTAAAATAATATTAATAGTAAGAGCTGCGTTAAGATATATTAAACAGTTTTAAGATGAGTCAAGATGTCTTGTTATTGTATACGTATTTTAAAAGTTATATAAATATAAGCAAAAACATTTGACATTTAAAATACGTTATTTTTAAGATACGCCCAAATGGAAAAAGAATATCTTACCAATGAATTTAAACTGGAGCAGGAGAAACTATCGAAAGAAGAAAAACAGGAAATAAAAAAGAAACTAAAAAGTTTAAAGGAAGATATGAGTAAGGTTCAACCATATATTTTTTTTATTGTGACATTTTTATTTTATTTTAGTAAGCATAAGAGATAATTCAATTTCTATGAAAATACAATCAAGAATGGAAGAAAGGGCATTAAAAAAGAAATCAGAATCAGTAAAATCTGAGAAAAAGCAGGAAATTATGTTAATAGAAAAAAAATACAGCGATTCTTTGCCTATAGGTATATTTTATAATAGGGTGGTTCAAAAAATAAAAGTTTGGAATATTTTGTCTCCACAAGTTTTTTTATTCGGATAACATTTGCAGGTCGTCCATAATTAAACACACATTAATAATATAAAACACTAAAATCAAAAACTACTATATAAGGCTTTTAATGGCCCAAAGAAGAATATGTTTGACAATTTTGGTGCCAAAATATTATATAATAAATATTCTACAATTTTTTTTTATAAGAACAGTTTTGTAATTCGTGCGTTTCGAGCCCTTGAAATGGCCGTAAACTGTATTTTTGGAACAAAAAACGCCATAATAGTACAAAATACAAGGCCTACTATGTCAGTTTTTAAGAGTCCATTTTTAAAAATTCATGCGAGGTGTGTTCAGAAAATCGGGAATTTTCGTTTTTTGAAAAAAATATTTATTTATTCGTCTTCATTAATGTTCTCCCCATTGGATATTATGCACATGTGACAGCTCTTCTTCCAATACTCGAAACACTTCCAAAACTCCATCTTTGGGATAGCCTTTAGTCCTTTCAGCGATGCGCTTTTAATGTCATCTATGCTTGCAAAACGACGGCCCTTTAAGGTTCTCTTTATTTTTGGGAATTGGAAAAAGTCAGACAGAGGCATGTCTGGCGAATATGGAGGCTGGGGCATCATTACAGTATTGTTTTTGGACAAAAATTTTGTTCAAAATTTAACAATTTTGGAACAAATTTTGCTGCCACGCGTTTCATACAAAAACATTTGAAAAAATTTCATGAGATGAGCCAATCGATATACCAACATTATCAGCGACTTCTCTGATGTTTATAACCATTTCTTCCACTTTTTCCATGTTTTTATCGGTTGTTAATGTGCTTGGACGTTCGGGGCGTACGTCATCTTCAACGTCTTCACGGCCATCTTGGAAACTCTTATACCACTTGTAAACTCTTGTTTTACTTATAGCAGACTCAATATAGGGCTTTGTTAACATTTCACAGAATTTATTTAATTTTTTAAACAAAATTGGATACAAATTCTTTGATCCATTTCTTTTAACGAACGAAAAATCGCCGAGCTCATAAAACACGTCTAACCTTAGCGGCTACCACAGACAAAGTAAACGATGAAAACAGCTAAAGTTTTTATCATACTTCGGGGGCATGTATACCAACATAATAAAGAAAATTTTATGACAACCGGACCCTCCGAACCCGCGAAATTTAACAATTCCCGTTATTTTCTGAACACACCTCGTATTAGCGATTTTTTTAAACAAAATCTAAACACGGCACTGGATTCACCACCCCTCAAAACGACCCTTTACTACATTTTATTGAAAATTTTTCAGTAGAAAAATGCACAATAATATAACTACAAAAATTTATTTTGTCAAGTTAACCATGAAAAAACATTGAAATAAAATTAAACTAATAGTAACATGGTACTATTACTATAAGTTTAATTTTATTTCAATGTTTTTTGCATGGATAACTTGACAGAATAAATTTTTGTAGATATTATTGTGCATTTTTCTACTTAAAATTTTTCAATAAAATGTAGTAAAAGGTCGTAAACACTTCTATTTCATGGTGAGTATTGAGGTGGTATTGAGTAAAACATGAACACAAATGAACATAAACATAGACCACAGTTTAAGTATACTTTTCTCTTTTTACCTAACACGGTATTTATTATTTTTACTGATAGAATTATTAAAAATAAATAAATTTTATGAAATATAATTTTCAAAATTTTCACCTCAACGAGGCATCCGAAGATATTATCCTGCTAAGCCAAGTTTTTTTAGCATAAATACTATAACAAAAAGACAAATTTTGGTTACCCAGTCCCTATAAAATTAAAAAAAATATGTTAAACAATTGACATTAATGAAATACATACCTTCTGGAAGACCAGACACAAAAGTGTGGAGGCAAGATTCAACACTGTTTTTTTTTCATACAATTAAATTTACATTAAATTTACTAAAAAATTTTATTTTAGATGAAAAAATGTTAACGTTACAAGTAGCAGATATTTCGATGAAGAGAGAAAAAGACACATCTGCGGGTAAAAAATACATTTTAAAATAGGTATTTATGTCATAAGGCTGAAAAGTGAGTCTTTTTGTGCTAAGCATAATATAATAAAAATTATTAAAAGTATAAAGTGAGGTTTGATAGCTTCAGAGTTGTCAGCAGATATCACTTTTTTGATTGGTCCTAAAGGTTTTTTTAGAGACTAGGATGTAAAAAACTTCATCTGATTGGTCTAAATTATTTTTACAGCCTAGGAGATAATCGAATACTTTGGTAGTGAGCGTTGACAATAATAAAGCTTAAATTTTAGAACGCTCGAAGATAAAAGTATTTTTTATTTATTAATTTTTTTAGTTGATGATTCCACTTCTGCACCTTCAAAATCGCACACTGTTATACATGGTATAAATTTTTTTTTTTTATTTTTTATGTTTTAAAATTATATTCGTTTATAGATAAATCAACTCTTCCATGGGATGCCTCTCATTGTAAGTGTTTTTTCTACTCCCACCTGTAAAATACCCATTACCGTACATGTTTCCATGACACTAAGTGATCTTTTAAATACACACTTATATAAGACTGTGGTCGGCAGTAAACTAGATAAAGCATTAAAAATTTCGCTTGGAGACTCCACCGTGGAGTGCCCATAAAACATTCTCTTCACGTTCACTGTAAAAAAACTGCTTCTATATCGGATTTAAACGATTGTTAGTCCATTTTGAAGAGATAAATTTTACATTTGCCACCGATAATACAGTTTTCCTTTCTTACTGTTACTCTTTTTTTGTATAGATGTTGCTCTATACAAATATTTATTTTAAATCATATTAGATAATAATAAGTAATTGTAGTAGAAAAAGTAAAGTATGCAACTCGTTTAATATATGTTATATAAATATTTAATTTTTATTTAGACCAAAAAGACGATACAGGCTATTCTTCTGGGATAGGTATATATCCAAAAAAACATTTTTAAACCATCACTAATAACTTTATAATTAATTTTTTTAATAGGATTTTCCTTGACATCGACGTTGGAAAGGTCAGGTCTTCACCCCATGATACATGGTATGAAAAACAAATATCAAAAGTATACAAAGTTCCAAAATTTGGTTACAGGATATCTATACAAAAACATATTCTTTAGACCAAATAAATAAACATTTTTTAAGTAAATTTATTCAACAGTCGATTTTTACGTAGAAGAAAATTCTCTTTAACCCTGGAGTCAATCCATATTAAATCAACCCATTTAAATAGGTTGCTGACAATTTTTTTTATTTTAACTATGGGTATAATAATAATACATAGATGTATTATCTTTTTTTTTTGTAAATGTTGTATTTTGTAATGTGTATTGTGTTTGACTTTGTGGCTGATCTCAGAAAAGACACTTTATTGGGTTCTAATAAGTTGTTCAAATTTCACTGAGACTACCTTTTTAGCTAGATATACTAGACTATACTAAACAAGTGTAGATATTATTGCTTGTAGTAAAAATCTAAAAAATGTATTTTCAAATATTATATATTATTCCTTTACTGTTAAAAGTCTGAACAAAGATAAAGTATGTTAAACAGGGTGTCTCAAAAGTCTTGCTTCGCTCGCGCATCGTACTAATTCTCTTTCACCCTCCCTGCTGTATGTATATTTAGACTATATCCAGAAAAAATATTTAAGATGAGTCTAAGTTTTATCGTTAACATTTTTAATTGTAAAAGAGATAGTTTAGTATTGGAAACGTTACCTATTCACATTTTTTTTGTTTATGTAAAATTAAGCGAGCCTATATACAGGGTGTTTCACATTCGTGGTCCATTAGAAGTTTCTGAAGGACGAAAAAAGATATCGATTTGAAATTTTAAAAGCGTTTACCGGAATACAAACAGTATTTGCTAATTTTGAAAAAAATTAAATAGTAAAGCACTTAGTGCTATAGCTAGACTATAGTCTAGCTTATAGAAAACAATAAAATATAAAATTTATTTTATGAAATATTTTAATAAAAAAAAGAATGCGATTTTCCCTTTATTATAACAAAAAAGTTTAAGGCTATTTTTGATTAACGCGCATTTCTAAAATTTTAACGAAAAAAATTAATAACTCATAAACTATTTACTTAAGGTATAGGACATGGTATAATACTTTGAAATTAATAACTCATAAACTATTTACTTAAGGTATACTGCCCTACTATGGAGAAAGGCAGTAACTGCCAAACAAGAAATTTGTGGAAAATTAGCATAAACTACATTTTTATAAAAAGCAGTAGGTATTTAATTGATTTTCTTAACTTATGAGATATTTGACTGCATTTCTGTGTTGAATTCGGTTACAAAATGTCCATAGCTTTACCATAGCACAAGAAAACGCATTTTGCATTTTTTTGCAGTTACTGCCTTTCTCCATAGTAGGGCAGTATAGGACATGGTATAGTACTTTGATTACTGTGCATCTTTGTTATATTTGCTTGATAATGCATCATTAGATTCACTACAAAAACTTCAAAATAGGGGAATGCGTATTATTTTAAGATGTAGTAAATGTACCTGTATTAACTTAATGTTAAATACTTACAATGGCAATCAGTACGTAAACGAATAAACTATCTAACGCTTACTTTTATATATAAAATAAAAAATAATATTGCTGCCCCCTATTTACATGAAAATTTAGTATTAAACAACTTTCATGCATATAACACAAGAGGAACCAATAACTTTTATATTAATACTACAAATACTTATGAATTCATTATTTTTTAAAGGGCTTTAGCATTTAGAAATGAATACAACTTGTTACCACAAGAAATAAAAAATTGTGAGACTTTAGCAACCTTTAAGAGAGCTTTATGTGCATTTTTGTTAAATTAAAAATTGTAGGTATTATGTTTAATTTTTTTTTGTAAATAATTATTGTTAGATTAGATTGGGTGTTAAAATACAGTGTAATTTATTTAAAGATGTATTAATGTTTTTATAATTGTTTTTATTGATTGTATATTAGGATTTCTTATTTTATAAAGATTTATTATTATTATTATAGTAATTGTACTTAGAATTTTATGTAGAGTTTAAAAATGTTAAAATATATGGGGTGTTGTATTTTAAATAACAAAGTTAATGTCACTTCCGGTTAAACCGGAAGTGTCATTTTGTATAAAATATTTTAGAAAAATAAAGTTGAATGGATTATAAACGCTTTTAAAATTTTAAATTGATATCTTTTTTCGTCCCTCCGAAACTTCACGAATGTGGAACACCCTGTATATTAAATGGAAAATATTGTACATTTCATGCTAAAGAATAACAAGTGTTAACAAGGTTTTTTTTACAAATAAATATCTTTAAAAACCAAGAAGCCAAACCCAAACCTCTGTAAAATGCAAAATAGGCTGATGCAGCAATACCAAATGACAGCTCACAAAAAAACAAAACATCTAAAAAGTTAATAAATACTCTCTGAGTATAGTACAAACATAGTTAGGAATTAAAAAAATTGTCAGCAATCATTATTGGTTAATTTGATATGGATTAGCCTCTGTGTTTTATCGTATAGAAAAAATAATACACAGATGTTTTCTTAGTTGCCTAAAATAACATAATTTGCAATAACGAGTCAAGGACTTTTTTCCCATTGATTAGCGAAATCACGTACCTTAGTTTTAAAATATACGAGGTATACCTATAATAGGTCTTTTATAAAAGACCAAAATACAATTATCTTATATTTTGCTTATGTAATAAAATATTTTGTAGAATCTGTTGCAACCATAAGGAATACTCTCATTGACCCGTCCGTCCCAGAACCCGTCACACCCCCCGAGCCCGAACCCACCACCATTCAACCTGCAACACTGAGTCCAATTTCCGAAGAAAAAGGTTTAAAATTTAAAAAAAAACAAGAAAATTAAATTAAAACTATTTTTTTTTAGAAATTAAATCTCAATTTTTCACTGGCGGTGAAGGAAAAACTACATTTACAATAGGTATAATCATATTTCAAAACTTTTTTATTTTAAATAATTTACGCAAAAATTATTAAAAATTTGGTGTTAAAAAAAACATGTGCCCTTGAAAACAGATTAGTGAAACTTTCTTTGTCAATAATTATCGATATTATAATAGGTATAAATGGTATGTTGGTATTTTGGTAGGTATTCGCACCTCTAGTATGTAGTTTACTTCGATATTCAAAGTATTTAAATACTTTAAAGAATACTTAACATAACCTAGCAACCAAGCTAGAAACAGGTGTTGGATTAAGTCGTAATTCTTGACACATCTGTTATAACATCGCGTTTTTTCAAGGCCATCCCCTTTCAGTGAGAATATTCTTAGGATCATGCTACATTTCTTCTAAAGAACATGCTTAAAAGACATACCTATAGCATGTTCCTAAGAATATTCTTACTGGCCTATAGGCAGGTTCTTAGAAATTAGTCTACTATAAACAAATGCTTACAAAGTAATTGCTATAGAAAGTTAATTTATGAATATTCCTGTTAAACATATTTAGTTCATAGGTAACTGCAGTTACCTATATAATATTAAAATATACCATAAACTACGTATACAGGTATACACCTATACTTAAGTACCTAATTAGTAATTAGTATTAAATACTAAGTAAAAAACACAATCCAAAATATTTTTTTATAGGTAGTTATTTGTCAAATTAAAACAATATTCTTATATTATATCACGAGAACTATGAATTTAATCGGTTAAACTAGGCTCAGTAGTTTTTTGTTTGGTTTTTGTTGGAAAATGTTGAATGCAAAATAATTTAATAAAATCACGAGACCGCGTCGAGGGGTTTTATTTTTAATTATTTTTTCATGAAACTATTTTCCAAAAAGAAAAATCAAATAAAAAACTTATTGAGCATAGTTTGACAGATTAAATTTATAGGTTGAGTGATATACGTCTAGATTATTTCTCGAATTAAAGGAAACTATTTAAAAATTCATAAAATCTGACGTATGTGTCAAAATTTATAAATATTTTTTTAAAGAAAATTCCAATAATTTAAGGTATGTAATAAGTAATAATTGATATTTCGTAAAATAGATAACTTATTTTTTATTGTTTTTAAAAAAATGTTTGTTAAAACTTGTAAATAACACCATAAAATCGTAAACAAAAATCCAATATGGAGGCTAAAATTTAATCGCTGTTAAATAGTTCTAGTAATTTAATCGCTTATTTAAACGAAATTTATTCGAAAATTCAAGGCTTTTGATTGGTTCATATTATTTCATTATAATGAGATTATTTCATTATAATGAGGGAAATAATCAATAACAAAAATACTTTTACTATAGGTATTTTATTTTATGTTAAAAATAAAAATTTATTAATTTTTTTACCGATGTTTTATTTCTGAATTAACATTTTTATATACAGTGCTTGCAAATCCAAGTCCGACCGCCTTGGGAAGGATCGTTGTTCAATACCCGCGTGAAAAGAATAAGGATAGAATACCAAACAGAATTTGATTGGTCAGAGCCTCAAGCGTGCGTATTGTAAGCGCCTTCTGTTTGGCGTTCTATCCTTGTTATTTTCACGCGTCCTTCTCAAACCGGTCGGACTTGTGTTTGCAAGCACTGTATAATAATCCTAACTATCTTCAACTTCAATTTAATCTGACTTATCCCACAAAATTTTCCAATTTTACTTGTTATGAAATAATGTCATAAAACTTATGGTTTAGAGGTCAAATTGTTTATTTAATATTTTTAAATAAATATATATTAATATATCGCAAAATTTAAGGGGACGACAAATACATTTCACTGTCATATTATGACAGTGAGGCGCATCTGTCTCCTAAAGAATTTTACGAATGTAGAAAACAACATATTAGAACGTGGGTATCTGACATATTTGGAAATATTCTCAAAAGCTTCCTAGAAGCTCTATAAGAAACCTTCTAAGAACATTCCAAAAACGTATTCTTAAAATGTTCTTAGGATGCTTTTTAGGAAGGTTTTAAGAAGCTTTTAAGAATCTAATTGCATCATTAAAAGGGTTTCTATTGAATGTTTTAAAAGTCCCTAAGAACATTCTTAGCAATAAGGGAAGGTTCTAAGAATATTCCATTATTCCAGGTCATATCTTCTTAGAAGATTCAATCAAATTTTGCTATCAGGGTCAAAGCGTTTTGAATCTTCCGTTTTTTAAAATCCTGTAGCAGTTTGTTATTCCCCGTCTGCAAAGAAGTTTTCACACAAACCTGACGATCTAAATCAAGCTAGATCAGCTAGATCAGATCGATTGAAGCTCTTCATGTAAAATTTTCTAAACCCAATTTTTTTATTCCAGGAAAAACTTCAACTACAAAAATGGGTTAGTTTTTTAAAAAAGATTATTAATATTTTTGTTAAATAATCAAACTTATGATATTTTCCAGATGAAGAGGAAGTTGTAGACGCTACCATGGGCAAAACAACTATTCAAAAGAAGGACAAATCTACGAAAGAAAAAGGTAAATTATGAAAATTATCAAGATATAATAATGTAATATTTTAGAAGGAATTAATAAAGAATCGAAAATTGTGTTTTTATTTGTATTTTAGAGACCACCAAAGGAAATCAAGACGGAAAAGATAAAAAAGGTAAATTCAGAACACAATGTTAAAACCTCTTTTTAAAATATCCTTGGCACAAGCTAAACTTCAGTTTAAGTGTTACTCAGGTAAATTAAATTCAACACCCTGTACTTTCAGATACTCCCAACGAAAAGAAAGATGGTGAAAAAGGTGGGGTTAAAAAAATTGCATTTTAGTATCCAAAAAATATTAATATTAAATATTTACAGGGGGTGATGATGACAAGGATAAGGACAAAGGTATGATATAAAGTGTGTTACACAAATTTGTAAGTTTAATACCTTTGAATTTTTAGATGATGATATGGAAGATTTTAAGGATGAAAATGCCATAGAAACCTATTTAACTAAACAATTTAGAAAGAAAGTTTCACAGGTTTGTTTTTTGTATTTTGACAACACAAAATCGTCTTCAGGTGAATACTGAATAAGTTAAGTAGCTACAGGCCTATTTATATTCGAGCAACTGATCCAAGGTCTCATCTGTTTAACTATAGTTCCAAACGTTCCTTATCTCCACTGAAGAAAGTCGGGGTTCTGCTCCAATACGCTTCGCTGCACCTGGATTTTCCAGTACACACGACTTACGAGGTGTGCTCAGAAAATATCGGGAATTGTTAAATTTCGCGGGTTCGGAGGGTCCGGTTGTCATAAAATTTTCTTTATTATGTTGGTATACATGCCACCGAAGTATGATAAAAACTTTAGCTGTTTTCATTGTTTACTTTGTCTGTGGCAGCCGCTAAGGTTAGACTTGTTTTATGAGCTCGGCGATTTTTCGTTCGTTAAAAGAAATGGATCAAAGAATTTGTATCCAATTTTGCTTAAAAACTGAAATAAATTCTGTGAAATGTTAACAAAGGCCTATAGTGAGTCTGCTATAAGTAAAACAAGAGTTTATAAGTGGTATAAGAGTTTCCAAGATGGCCGTGAAGACGTTGAAGATGACGAACTTCCCGAACGCACAAGCACATTAACAACCGATAAAAACATGGAAAAAGTGGAAGAAATGGTTATAAACCATCAGAGAAGTCGCTGATGATGTTGGTATATCGATTGGCTCATCCCATGAAATTTTTTCGAATGTTTTGGGTATGAAACGCGTGGCAGAAAAATTTGTTCTAAAATTGTTAAATTTTGAACAAAATTTTTGGCCAAAAACAATACTGTAATGATGCCCCAGCCTCCATATTCGCCAGACATGCCTCTGTCTGACTTTTTCCTATTCCCAAAAATATAGAGAACCTTAAAGGGCCGTCGTTTTGCAAGCATAGATGACATTAAATGCGCATCGCTTAAATAACTAAAGGCTATCCCAAAGATCGAGTTTTAGAAGTGTTTCGAGTATTGGAAGAAGAGCTCGGAGCTGGCACATGTGCATAATATCCAATGTGCACTATTTTGAAGGCGACAACATTAATGTAGACAAATAAATAAATATTTGTTTCAAAAAACGAAAATTCCCGATATTTTCTGAACACACCTCGTATATATATAACTGGACCTGTAGCTACTTAACTTATTCAGTGTTCACCCGAAGACGACTGGAGATACTTGCAATGTTCAAATTAAATTTTTAATAGATTTCAGCCACAACTTCTTATAACCCCAGGGATACATATGTGTGTCCCCAAATTATGTTGACCGACTCTGAAATATTAGGCCAAGCTAATTTCGACAAGCTAACACAAAAATATGGCCCCATTGAGGAAGCACCTGTGAAGAAGAAATTTGCCAGAGGCACCTTACAAAGTCATTCGTTTACAAAACTAACGCAGACTTTTATAAAGGATTTCTACTTTGGATCAAAAGCAGGGACCATGCACAAATGTAACTAAAAATATTAATTCAATATTTGGGGTTAGGTACTATGCTCCACACCTCAAAGTCCCACCACGTGACCACGTACGGAACGCAGTCTTTTGAAAATTTGGCATTTAAGGCTTTTCAGGTTATGTATCTGTCAAAGTATAGTCAACGAAAGAAATAATATTATGTTTAGGCGTTAAAAATGTATAAATCTTTATAACATTAGAATAACAATGGATGGTTTAAGAATTTAAGAAAATAAATTCTGCATTTCATGAAATTTTAAAGTGTATGGTGCCAAATAAGTAATATTTTTGTGCATTTGGTCTAAATATCTGGATTTCTCCATAAAATAATTTTAACTAAACAGCATTTATTTAAAAAATCTAGCTTCTCTATTATGGAATAAGAATATCTGTAGTAAAGGTAGGTTAATATATTATAACAAAAATATCATCTAATTTTGTAATTTTAAGGTTAGTAAAATTTATTTTGACCAAAATAAATAAGTATTTTGAATTATTTAAAAGACTGTATAATATGGTATTTAAAAATGTGGTAGTTTTTCTTATCCAGCTTAAAGTGTACCGACATAAAGTTTTATTAATACAAAAAGCTTCGACTGAATTTGATCTACATCAAAAAATCATTATAACTTTAAAAATTTTAATAAATCACATGTCATGGGAGTATTAAATATTTTTACATTGCAAGTTTCTCTAAAAATTGTTTGTTTTCTTATAATCTAACTTAAAGTAAGTATGCCGAGAGGTATGCACAAGTTTGGTCGTTAGAAGTATAAAAGCTTCAATTTAATTTGAACTATATTCAACAATTATTTAGTATACCTATATTTATTTATGACCATATTAACACACTCTTTCAAATAACCCACTTATTTATTTTGGTCAAAATAGATTTTTCTAACCTTAAAATACAAAATAAGATGATATTTTTTGTTCTTATACATTAACCTACCTTTGATACAGATATTCCTATTTCATAATAGAGAAGTTAGATTTTTTTTAATAAATGATGTTTAGTTAAAACTATTTTATGACCCAATGCTGCAGGCCCGTTCCTGGGGTGTCTGGCGCCTGCGTGCAGCTTTCGTTGGTGCGCCCCTTTTATATTTAAATATAATACATTAAATATTTGAATTTTAAGCCGTAAAATTTAAAAAATATATATTTTGCGACAAACTGGCAATATGTAATTGAAAATGTAAAAAAAAACCGCTTAAATTAAGTATAAAAAATATTTATTAAATTACCAAACAAACAAGTAGTAACATAAGGGCATCTATTTTTTTGGAAAAAAATCGAAAAAACACGTTGCTAAGTAATATTTTAACAAGAAGCATGAGTGCTGGTGGCAACAAAAATACGAGTCGAAGACGAGGATTTTTGCAACTACACGAATGCATTTTGTTAAAAAATATTACTTAGCATTGTGTTTTTTCGATTTTTTTCACAGGAAAAATTAGATGCCCGAATGGTATTTGACAAGACTATTTCATGAGTAACAGTTAACAATTAAAATATAATTTTTGGACAACAGCTGTCAAGTTTTGCCGTACAGTTTTTCCACCTAGAAACCATTTGTAGTTCAAAATTGCGCGTTTGTGATTGGTGGAAATTAAGAAAAGGGAAATAGTCAGTGATAAAAATACTCTGAAGAAAACAAGAAAAACAATATAAACAATATAATAACTACAACTGGTTTTTAGTGACGTACTCTTTAAAAATGACTAGTTTTCAAAGTAAAAAAGCAGTCACTAATAACTTTAGTCCACAGCAATTTGTAACCCGGGTATTTACCAGCTTATTATTATGTATAATTGTCCCCTGAATCCGAAAATACCGTCAAAAATTATAAAAGTAAAGCAGTTTTTAAGATATAGGCAATACCATATTATATGGAAAATTTACTAAATCTCAAAAGCGTTCTATAGAAAGTATACTTTTATAACTTTTGACGACATTTTCGGATTCAGCGGACAATTTTACATAATAGTTGACTGCTAAATATCCGGGATTCAAATTGCTATTAACAATAATTATTAGTCGCTGCTTTTTCGCTATTGCAATTAGACTAATTGAATTTTTTGTAATTTTTGACTAATTCAACTGCAACTATCAAACAAATACTAAAGATAATATGACCATTTCTCTCCTTTTATTTTGATCCTTATATCAAAACAAAATAAGCAGCCAATATCAAAGCGGCAAAAGGCGCTTTATAGCGACCGAAAAAAAGAGCGGCCGACGCAAAAAAGCAGAAATCTTTATCCAATGTATGTTTAAGTATCATATGCAAGAAAGTTTATCGTTACAAAGTACTGATTGACTCTTTGATTTTGCGCCCCCGAAATGTTGCGCCTGCGTGCGTGCACGCACTGCACGCTCGCCAGGAACGGGCCTGCCAATGCACAAAAATATAACTTACATTGCACCTTACAATTTGGAATTTCATTAAATGCAGTTTTTATATTCCTAAATTCTTAAACCAACCATTAATATTGTGATACTATAAAGATTTATTAACTTTTAACGCTTAAACATAAGCGGTAACAGTATAAATATTATTTCTTTCATTGACTATACTTTGACAGATACATAACCTGAAAAGCCTTAAATGCCGTACGTGGTCACGTGGTGGGACTTTGAGGTGTGGAGCATAGTACATTACAAGGTCTTTTTTCATTACAAAACTTGTTATGCCATCTGAAAGTACCATTTTCCCCCTTTAAAATCTTTTCGATTTTTTTTAATATCCTTTCTACTCCTAGTAAAATGTCTAGTGGTATTTTTAATTCTTCGGAAAACAGCGCATGAAAAACAATAGAGGGCAGATTTTGTACAAATTTTGTGTTTTTGTAGTCGATGAAAATTTAAAAGTTAACGGAAAGCAAGGTATTTGTATACCCATAGCTGCATATTGCTACGCTTTTTTGAAACATCCCATAAAGTGGCAGACAGAAGAGATTGATGAAATTATGGTGTGTGGGACAAATCTTTATAAAGAAAGCAGGAATAATTTTAAAATTGAAGATGAAAGGGAGTTGACTTATCAAGAAATGGAGAGATATTGCTTTTATGGTAAGTACGAATTTCATGTGAAAACTTTTTTAAGATATTCTAAAACCGTTTGAGATTCTGGTTTTAATTATCCTAATTTACAAACAAAAAAGTTATACAGTGATCGTCAAAAATATGGAACAAATTCATTAAAAGTTATATTTATATTTTTTATATTTTAGGTAATAAAAAAATTAGATTCATAGTAGACGAGCCTATTGTCTCTGGGTTTATATTTTCCGGAGACAAAACGATCTTCAATTTAACTAAAGCATTGCACATATTTTTCTCGAACCAAACTGCAGGAATTCTGGTGTCAAACGATGTACATATCGCAATCTGGAAGGACAATTATTTTTATATGTTTGACGGGGTTCATCGTACCAAAGATATGTACGTTATCGATTCTGGAGTGGCTAATGTAGCGAATTTTTATGACATTAATGGTCTCGTTACCATATTACTGCAAAGGTAAATATATTCTGTGCTTAAAGTACTTTTCGCCAACAATGTTGGCATCTTTAGAAGCGAAGTGTAACTAAATGTAACTGGTAAATCTACCATATTTATATTAATTATAAGCTAAGGTTGACTGAACCGTCAAGGGGCACAGTTTACTAAACCTGTGGACCGTAACCGCTTCAATGAACACCATCATCATGTATATGTTGAGCAACATTCGATTTCTCTGTCCTACCAAATCTAGCATGGGCCAAGTTCTCTTTAAACCTTACTTGGATGGATCGTTTAGTTTCTCCAACATATTTCTTGTCACAATCTTGACTGTTTATTTCGTAAATCTCCGACTTTTCAATTTTAGGAATCTTATCTTTGGGGTTGTCTAAAAAGCTCTGAAGGGTGTTACTGCTTGAACTAAAAGCAATTTTGAAGTCCAGTTTTCGAAAACTTCCTTGCAGACCTTGGGGTTCGAAAGGAATACTCAGAAACTTGACTTTTGTGGGCTCTGTTGGCTCTGTTTGAAAAGTCGTTAATCTAGAAAGGCGAGACTTTAATTGTATTTAATTTACTAACTCATCTGCTAAGGTGGCTTCAAAACCATTGTCTCTAGCAATGTCTTTTATAAAACTGAGCTCTTTCTTGTTTCTACTATTACTAACAATAAAGTTAAAACTAGCCTGCTTATGTTGTGTGCAGTGCAGAGTCTGAAGTGATGTAACGTGCAGTGCTTATAGGTTTTCTGTAAATATCGAACTCTAGAGTATTCTTAGATCTTATCACTAGGGTATCTAAAAATGGTAGCTGGCGATCTTTTTCTAATTAAAAGGTGAATTTAATAGAGGGAATATAATTATTCAGTTTTTGCTACAACTGGTGATATTAATTTTGATTCCTTAAAGTCTTTAATAAAATGTCTGTGATTAATATACTATGTATTTGTATATATATATTTTTATATTTATATCTTTGTAATCATACTTGGTATTTAACTTCTTTTTTTTATGTTGTTATATCTTTATCTTAACATTTTTTCTTTTTACATTTCCTGTAATTGGGTGTATTCCTGTTGGAAATAAATTTTATTATTATTATTATTATAAGCTCCAAGCGTTTTGATCGAAAATAGCAAAGATACCGTCTACGTATTTTAACCAAATCCTCGGAAAATACCAATAGCTACACTAAGGTCCTTCTTAAAGCGGCTCATGAAAAGATCGGCTAAAAAAGGACGCAAGGAGTTTCCCATAGAAGTCCCTTCATGCTGTTTACAGAAACAACCGTTGACTTGAAAACTGGTTTGCCGCATGCAGGCTAATTTCAAGTATTTAGCAACAGTCTCATTGGAAAAATTATTTTCTTTGAGTAAATCCTCTAGATAAGTCAATGAAAGTCAGTGGCGGCTCGTCGTATAAAGCAACTAAGGCCGGGCCTCACATGTTAAAATTATAATAAATGGTGGGCCATCTATAAGTTGAATTTTAAACTACGTGCTATTAATGAAGCTTTCAACTTAAGCGCCATGAATTGCTGACAGTGGTTTAGTTTTAACCTTCCGATTACAAAATATGCACCGAATAAATTTGGATCAACGTTTCGAAATACTCAAAACTTACTTTGAATGTGACTGTGATCGCAGAGACGGCAAGAACATTGCGTTTGGAAGAAATGAGGCGCCGTGAAACCAAAGTATTACAAATTTGATCAAAAAATTGCGCAGAAATAGAATGCTGGTGGACATAAATGTTTCGCATGCTCGTCCTAGACGTATACCTGAAGCAATCGCTGCTGTGGCCGAAAATGTACGCATGAACGCGTCAACATCAACTCGGCGCAGATGTCAACAACTCGGCCTTTCCCGTACCACTCTGAGGATGATTCTTCACAAAGACCTCGGTATGTTTGCGTACAAAGTCCAGCTTGTTCAGGAGTTAAAGCAAGTTGACCATCCACAACGTTTTCGCTTTGCTGAGTGGGCTTTAAACCAGTTGAACGATCACCCTAATTTTGCAAGAAATAAGGCGCATTTTTACCTCGGAGGTTAGTTCAACAAGCAAAACTGTAGGATTTGGGCCACGGAAAATCCACACGTCGCCGTAACAAAACCTATTCACCATTTAAAACAAAACTTTCAAGCTCAAATTGCCTAAATAGAGCAGCAAACTTTTGACAAAGTGCTCGAAAATTGGTGTTCCAGGATACTAGACGTTAGACGTAGTCGGATACTTTGGCTCCCGATGCCATGGCAACGGGTCGGTGCGCGCGGATATTGTTTTGTAATTTTATTGAGGTTAAAGACGTCGTATTTTTAGGTTATAGACATAATTTTATTTAGCCTGTTTGCATTATAATTATTATAATATTTAAAATTTAAATGTATGTCCGTGCGTAGAAAAAGTATTAAAGATGAAATGATGTGAAGCTATAGGAGGAAAAAGTAAATAATAGTTATAAGCGAATTTTACAAACGAAATTGTTTATAAAGAAGCTAAAGATGATGAAAATTTGATTATTTAATGTACCTATAAGAAGTGATTTAATATACTAAGCTAATGGTTGGATTCCTGGTATAGAGATATATGTACCTACCTGTATTTCTCAATAATATCCATCGATTGGCCCCTTTATAAGGGAATAGAGGAATTTATATCGACTAGGAAGTTATACTGAAAGTGGTCCACTTTAAAACTTGTATCTGTGTCAGTAAGAGAACAGACTCTCTTGAGAAAGAGTCAAAGAAGATGATTTTTATTGAAGCCTTATCAAGTAAAGGAATTTTATAGTATTTTTATTAACATATAATTATATTTTAATTTTTTTTCAGCTGAACTAAGAATGAATTTATGTGAATTGTAAAAAAACATTTACAAAATTAAAAAATTTACGACAACAGTTAAATTTCATTCTGGTAAAGAGATGGAAATAGCTCTGTATAAGATTTTAAATTAAAAATGTTCAAACTGTAATAGATAGTTTTATATTGAGTCACATAATAGTAGAATGCATATTGGTTCTTTAGCACTAGAATATGTTTTGAATTCAAAACATATTCTAGAGATGTATTCGTTACATAATGAACATTTCACTTTATTTAAGCACATATAAATTAAAAATTAAATTAAATTATACTTTAAAGTATTTAACTTAAGGCAACCTAAATAAATAAAGTCCATTTTTTAAAAACTTTGTTTTATTGGCTTTTGAAACAAGTGTTAGAGAAAATAAAAAAAACAAATTTTACAATGTAATATGTAATTGTCGGCTTCACAAGCAATCCAAGTAATTCCATTTTTTGCCCAACAACGCTAAAACCGCTGATTATGTCAGATGTAATAATATGTCAGATAAAATATGAAATAAAATTGACTTTAAATTCTTACTTACCTATATATTTTTTTCAAATTTAAATTAAAGTCAACTTCAGCCCGTGGGCGAAATGCTATTTTGCCCACCGGTTAAAGTGAAATGAAATGGGAGTCAAAAAAATATTTTTGTCTCCTCTATTATAATAATAACTGATTTGGAAGTTACGTGGATTGCTGGTGAAGCCGACGATATTAAAATATAAAAGATATATGTATGTATTGCAATTAAATGTTCTTATTTAAAACTAAAGATAAGGCAATGTTTACAGATTCCTCTGTATCAGGCTTCGTTATGCGATTTTTATCTCTTTTTTTTATTTTTCTTGATTTCTTGTTAATGAACCGCATTTGCGGATTGATTTTTTTATTGTTTGATTCAGAATTTTTTTCTATAAATTGATGATCTTTGTTTTGAATTAAACGAATTGCATTCAATTTTGGTTTCACGGAACTAATCGAGTCTTTTATTAAATCTAGTTCTTCTTGTGTCTCTATGCTGTTAAGTAGTTGGTTTAAGTCTTGAATTAAATTATCTTTTTGTTTTTTGATGGAAATTTCGCAGGATTTCTTTTTTGTCAAATGTGAAACCAGCTTTCGGGATTGTTCCATTTCTTCCGCATTTTGGGGTATAACAATTTCCAAATTTCCTGAACTTTCGTCTCTGTCATCAACGCCGTCGTTATCCATAACATGACATACACTTTGGTGATTCTCTTTAAGAAATCGGCATACTAAATGAATGTGTTTACATAGGTTCCATTTAATAGAATTATCTAAGCAGGAACAGACATAACGGTGTATACAACAACTGCAATCTGTGCAAACAATTTTACAAGAGCATTGATTATCTTTTAGTTCGACAAAATATTGTTCCATAGACGTTCTTGAGGAATTTACGTACCAACCATGACCATTTTCGCTTTGGACAACGTCCTTTGTAACAAGGGTTAAACTTTGAAGATGTCTTTTACGCAGATCTCTTATTTTACTGGTTACCTTTCCCTTATGCAACATAATTAGTCTATCAAAGAACTTATCTTTAATAAACTTCATTAAAACATGAATACATTTATCTAGTCTCTTAATATGTCTCCCTTGTAAATAAATGTATTTTATCGTTTTGTGCATACGTTCTATATGCATGTTCGTATTGAGTCCACAATGAACCCTAAAACAATAAGCCCAATTTTCAATATTTTTCAAATAGTTATCCCTAAAATAACAACCAAAATCATGGCTATCGGGATCATTTAACAATTTTCTTAAACCTTCTTCAAGTAAAGTTCTAAACGTTTCGTGGTTCGTCTCCTGCAACAGTGTCCTAAGTAGATGGTATACTTCTATCTGTTTTTCCTTTGACTTGACTTTTGACAACTGCTTCCTCCAAGCACGATCTACGTGCCACGTACAAAATAATCGTTTTTCAGGAACGCCCATAGACAGTACCCAGGCATTGAAAAACGATTCGGCCATATCCGTCATAAATACTTTTGGGCTTAAGGTACCGGTAGTCTTTTTAATGGTTGAAAAAAATATATTTAAAGCGGTTTTGTCTGAACGATTTGTTATAAGAAATGAACAGGGTAACCCTTGTCTCATATCATCTATTACCATTATAGTTATCAGTTCAAAACCGTATGCATTTAGACCATGTGTTCCGTCCATGCAAATGCAATCACTTGAAAATTTCTTTAACATTTCACATTGAAGCTCGTTCATAATTATTAACATGAAATCCTCAGATCTTAATTCAGGAAAATCTTCAGATAATGTATCTTGAGCCTTATAAAATAGAACTTGGTCTTGCATTTCCGTAACTAACATATCTATACTAACTGCATCATTTTTGTGACGACTAACATGTCCATTTAAATTATAAGCCCTTTCAATATTTCTTAGGTCTTGTTTTGTAACTAAATGTATTCGTTTCAATTCTTCATCAGAAATTGAATCGCGAATCTAAAATAAAATACATACATTTAGAAAATATATACATTTGTAGCTATTAAGAACACATTGAATCTAAATAAAACATAAAAAAACATTTTTTATCTTTAAGTACAAGCAAAGGCATAGATTTGTCTTTATTTTAATTTTGGAGAAAAAAAATTAAAATATTAGTAGGTAAATACAAACAACAGTGACAGGGTGCTGGGAAGAACAAAAAGTTTTCCTACCATTACCCAACAACTCATTGGTGCTCAGTGATTCCTTAGCACCCCCTGAGACAAGAAAACTTTATTTGTTAATTGTAACTGTTCATTTGGGAGAGAATTTGTTTGATCGCTTGTTTCTGGAAAGGAAGCCCTACAAGAAAATACATTTTGGATCATTTAAAAAAATTGTTTTTAGTAAACCTCCAAATCACTCCTAAAAAATAAACAGTTACGATTTAGGGATGAAGTTTTTGAGTCTTAGGGGGGTGCTAGGGAATCACCAAGCACCAATAAGTAGTAGAGGCATATTTAAAAAAGCCACCTGCTAAGTAAAACAAATTAAATCAATTAACCTCGTCAAGAATATCCTCAATTGGTATTTTGGTGGCTATTTTAGCTGCCAGTGCCTCTCGGTCAGATTTAGTTAATGTTAAATGAGATAACTCGTATTCATGGCCTAAATGAGTTTTTACAAATCTAACTTTGTATTTTTCTTCATTATATACCGTTACATAAATACTTGATGGGCAATAACTATTAATCTTCTTCGTGCCTTGAATTTTAATTGACCTTAAGCCTTTTCCATTTGGATTAAAATAACCAGAACGGTGACAATAAAAAGCTATTTTTTCGGAACCGTCAGCGGTTCGTTTATTACCAGTTTTCTTTATATAATGTGTAGAAGAATCTGTTTCCAAAGTACTTTTCCATGTAGAAAACTCTCCAAAAGAAGAGAATTGTAAGTTTTCCACTGTTAAGTGCAGGTTATGAGAATTATTGATATGTGCTTCAAAGCATTTTCTAGATATGTCTTCGTTGCATAATGGACATTTCAATTTATATGGTACTGAGGTACCAATATGCATTCTACTATTATGCGACTTAAGATTTTTTTCAGTAGAAAACTGTCTATTACAGTTTGAACATTTATAATTTAAGTTCTTATACAGAGCCATTTCCTTCTCTCTATTAGGATGAAACTTAACTGAATGTCTTCGTAAATTTTTTAATTTTGTAAATGTTTTTCCACAATCTGCACATAAATTCATTTTTATTTCAGCTAGAAAAAAAAATAAAAATATAGTTATGTACATGTTAATAAAAATAATACTTATAAAATACCTTTACTTTCGGATAATATTTAAATAAAAATCACAAAATTAAAATAATGCAAACAACTAAATAATTTTATGATTGCCTAACCCACAATCCAATTTACATAGGTTATGTAATTGTATTCAGATTCAAGGAGAAGAAGAAGAAGAACGCATCGGGAGCTAAGTATCCGACTACGTCTAACGTCTAGTTTCCAGGATGGGCTACTGCCGAGCCAGCTGAGGTGGCCACTTAAATAGTTTTCCATACTTAATCGGAAGAAATATTGTATCAAATAAAGCAAAATTCGTTGAAAAAAAATCAGTTTTTCTTGTTCTCATTGCTATTTTATAATTCAACAAAAACATGGCCCACCCTTTATAATGTGAAATTTTCGAAACATTACTTATTTAAATATAAAATCATCTAAGTTTAAAATATTTCCTTTAAGTTTAGCGCGCACCCCTTCCAACTTTAATTCTAAACGCTTAAATCATTGCCCGACCGCATAATAGGGAAATAGTAATCCCAGAAATTTGTGCTTCCTATACGTCACACATTGCCGATACAACACCATGCTCCCCGCCGCGGCACATTGCCGCCGGCACCCCCGCAAGACGGGGGTAATACGCGAATTTTTGTAGACATTGAGGCCCACAAAGTTGGGCTTGTACATTATTATTTTTAATAGTAACTTGCCAAATGCTCGCTTTGATTTTGAACAAGGACACTTATTATTTAAATGTTTCTTTTTTAAAAATATAAAATACAAGTCAGAAATGATTCCATTGTTCCGTAGAATATCATTATATCATATAATTAACACCTATTTTTGTATTAGTATGATTTATTGTTTGTTCCTGGGTGTTAATTCTTTAATTAATTATGAAACAATGAAATATTATAATCCCTGGTGCCCATCTTAAACTTGACAACGTTTTCTTGTCAACCCCGACCGCCCTTCAACTCCGGGACTATGTCGCACTATGGTCAAAAAGCAGCGTTTTGCGGACAAAATTAAATATTTTTTTATTACAAATAAATATTAATTTTTTCTTTTTTTAATAGGAGTTAGTTAATACGTATATTTAACTGTATTTTAATCAAAATTTTTTGTTTTTTAAATGCGTTTTGCAGGAATAATTTAAAAACCTTTTTATTAAAAATAAATATCAATTCTAGCTAAATTTTTAAAATTCTTCTCGCGAAAGACCTCATTTTTAAATAATATTTTTTTTTTATTTAGATTATATGCTCCGAAAACGCATAACCTTGAAAATTACAAAAAAAATTGCCAGCGGCGCCTTATAGCGGTTCATGGGCCTCATCTTCACGAGCCGCCACTGATGAAAGTGTCTCAGTACCACTCACATAATATAATTGAATATTTCTTATACAGGGTGTCCCACAATTAGTGCGACAAAATGAAGGTGTATTAACTACAGACCCCCAGGAATTCCAGAAAATTGTTTAAAAAATTCTTCCTTCATTATTTAAAAAGATACAGGGGAGTCATATTTTCTTTATATGGCAACATTGCCTCAAAAAAGGGGATAGTTTAATTCTTATTACTTTGTTATGAGGCAATGTTGCCATACAAAGAAAACATGACTCCCCTGTATCTTTTTAAATAATGAAGGAAAAATTTTTTAAACAATTTTCTGGAATTCCTGGGGGTCTGTAGATAATACACCTTCATTGTGTCGCACTAATTGTGGGTCACCCTGTATTTGTTTAACATATCACCAAAGTTTTCCTTTTTCACAACAACAAAGTATGTTTTATCTCGAATGTGGCCATTTTTATGTCCTTTACAATTCTTGTGCTTTGGGTTTGTGATGTTTATACAGATTAAAAATCGTTTTACCATGACCCACAAATTAACCTTAAAATTGACATTTGACAGTTTGATGACAGCCCTGATAGAAAAAGGTTTATGATTTACAAAAGAGGAGTAAAATGGTTGCCCTTAGCACACAACGTTTAAAACGATTATTAATCTGTATAAATAACACAAAGCACAAGAATTGTAAAAAGATAAAAATGGCCACCGTTCGAGTCTGTGCAGTGTAACTTTTAGCATGCGCGAAACTAGATAGTGAACCCACCCTCGTATATAGTTGCCAAGTTTCAAAACTAAGCAACTTTGTCCTTAGGAAACCCCCTAACAAAACCCCTAACATTTTTTAAAGATCTGGTTATGGGAACTGGCCTTTTGTCATACATGGTGTCCGAGTCATCAAAGTCTATGATAGATATGTAGACTATAAGGTGGATGAGCTAGATTTTGACAATGAAAGAGATAATTATAACATAATTAGCGAAGAAAAGGCTGTTTTACTGGGCTCGTACCACTTGGCAGATCTTTGTTTTAAATACATGCGGAACAGACAAGCTGTGGCTGTATGTTGCATGGCCTTAGTAAGCAAATACTTTAAAAAATATAGTATAAATAATATTAATGTTTTTTTATTAGATTTATTCTAGATTAACCCCAGCAGGGGCCTGGACCAGAGTAACATTGGACAAAATAATGACCCTAGGCACGAAAATTTGCTACGAATGTCTGAAATGTGCCGACTCTGAACCTCTGCAGCTGGAAAAAATGCCTGCCTATTTGGCTATAGGCCCATACATCATAGAAATATACATCCACAAAAATATGTTTTGTGACAGCATATTCAAAAGATGTCGTTGTCAAATTCAGGTCGATATCGAGGAATTTTTTGAAACCAGCACAAACGGTTTATTGGTTATTGAAAAATACATGATGGCGATTTTTAAGCAAAGAAGCAAATTTTTCCTGTATGATCCTTATAGCAGAAATTTTGAAGGTAAGTAAGTCCTCTAGGACAATTTGGGTGCGCTTTCAAAATAAATAAAAAAATAAGTAAACAAATATATTTTTCAGTCCACAGTCACACTTAATCTGCTACCTATCTTCTGTTTTCTATTAAATAATTCCTAATTCACAGTAAAAAAAATCAACTCTAAGCAACACTAATTAGAGTTCACACAGGTCCACACTAAATAGTGTTGTTTTATAACACTACAATTAGAGTTAATTTGTAGTGTAATTTTCCCCAAGTAAGCAAGTATTAGTTAACACCATAGCACTGAGGATAAAGTAATTTTACACTGTATTTAAAAGTGTTAATTTACCTAAAATCGTGTACTTCTACACTTCCTGGGTATAATCCCAATTTTGTTTAGTGTAAATTAACACTACTTGGGAAAAGTTCTAATTTTAGAAAGGTACTTTTACTCTTTTAGTGCAAACTTCCAGTGTAAATTAACACTATTATTTGAGTAGGTGGTAGTGAATAAAACGAAAAGGTAAATAAAGAGAAACATGTATTTGGAACAAAAATCTATGACAATTATCAAAATCGGTGCCTTTTAAAATATAATTTTATATTTGAGAAGTATGGCTGGCTTAAGCAAAATGGATCCTTAAAACGTAAAAGTTTTAGATCAATGCAATGTTTTACTGGCTGTCAACTTGTAAGCAATGAATTATCTTGAGAATTCATCAGTAATCCATTTTTCTGTTATAAAAAATGGGTGGGTGGGTGGAGAGGCGTCAGGCGGCTGTATGTCGGGGATTTACCACACGTGTACAAATTTTCCATAATATTAATAAAAATGTAGGTATAGGTTAATATAACAACAATTACGCTTGAAAATAAAAAGTAAATCAAGTGTGTATATATTTATATTATTAATCTTACAAGTACCCGACCTACTGCCGTAAATTGTTGATAAATAATATATGCCTTTTAACATATTGGTATTTATTGAGTATTAAGGCTTAAAGAAAAAGGAAGTATAATACTTACCAAAAAATAAGAATGTCCTCTTATGGATTCACCGTAATTAAAATTTAACTGAACAAAAATGCCACACTTCCACAACGCGGTATCTCCGGATATGCACTGCGTAGGTAGATAGGTCCCAACCAAAATATTTTAAAACGCATTTTGGTTATTACCCATTTTTTTTAGTCTATTTTGTCACTATTGGTGTAATCTAACTTTAATTGTGATACAATATGCACTAGTAGTGTAAAGAAAAAGGAGCTCTTATACACTATAGTAACATCAAAACAGACAAAGAAATTGGCATGCACTGTAGTGTACATTTTGTCACTATTTAACACATTAAGGGGTAATAAACACTCGCATTAAGTTTTTCTACCCTTTTGATTTATTTTAATAATAAATAGTTTGAATGTACCAATGAATAATGTTCTAATTCTTTAAATGTGTTTAATAAAGTTAATAAGCACTAAATTCTACTTAGTGTATTTTGTAGTGTAACTTTTACACTTACAAAAGAACTCTAATTTTTTTACTTTTTGTACTTCCTTGAAGTATTCCACAAATAATTATTTGGTTATAACCATCATTTTGCTTTTATTTTTTTGTTTTTTGAAAAAATATAGTTTTAAGTTAACAGCGTGTAGAAAAAGACACAAATATTTTAAGCAACTTTTTTGTCAAATTTAAAAATTAAAGAGAAACATCCTTTGAACGTTTAGTAGCGATAAGGCTAGAGAGCGCTTCCAGCGCGCGGAAATTCGAATTTTATAAGTGTTTTATTTTAGCAACCGTATGCAGAGATGGTGCATCTTGCTTATCCATGCATACAAACATCACCTCCATGGTGAAAACAATTCTGGCCAATCACGATCCAACCCAGGAAATAATATTCCACATACACGCTTTGAAAGTTTGCAAGATTATAAGGGATCCCAGTAAATTAAAGCAATTCCCGAAATGCATCAGAATGAACGATTTGAAAATTGATGCTTTCAAAGGGAAAATGTCGCTGGGCAAAAAGAGAGCAGTCGATAAAAGGATAGCAGTGGATATAAGCAAAATGGCAACAACAACGCCTTTTTTGAATGAAGAAGAGTAAGTATTATAATACCTATGACATCATTTTAACATGTACTTTGTACGGTAGCAGTCTTCACCTCTTTTGAAGCTGCCAATGACAGCCTGTTATTCCAGTGGCTTCCTCGGTGTGTTCGACCTGAAGACAGCTATTCAAAAAGATTGTATTTACATGTTAAAATAAAAGTTTTGATAAATATTAAGGTCTTACTGTGGTTTTATACAAAAATAAAAATAAAATAAAATAAAGTGATTTTACATAAAAACATATGGGTATTGCAAAAACAAACCATTTATAAGAATTCAAAATTAAAAAAAAATCCCGTGTAATTGAAATGGAAAAACAACAAACCTTAATATTAATATTAAGGGCTCAAATAGGCGCCAACATTTTTGTTTTTTAATGTGCTATTAATTTTTCAACACCATTAGAAAAAAAAATTGTTTTTTTTAAGACCCTAATGCTTATAGAATGATTGATTGATTTTTTACTTTTTATTGTGTAGAACTGTAGTAAAAGTACACTTGTAATAAGTAAAAAGCTAAATACGCGACTTTTAATTTATACATTGTTTAAATTGTAGAATATCAGTATACCAGATGGGTTTGGGTGTGGAGTCCTTTATAATGGAGGAAATTCCAGCTTTTCCTAACAAACTAACCGTAAAACAAATGGCAGAATTAACCAAACAAACTTGTATTAAGGAAGAAATCGAAAGAGCCTCTCCCGATCCTGAAGAAATTATAGATTTAGATTCACCTAGTTTATCTGATACACAGGTAAGTTTTACTATAATAGAGATGGAAAAACTCCCATTTGAAAAAATTCCCATTTGACGAAAATATGAAAAAAAACTAGTCAAATTAAAATCAACATTTTTGAGCGAGCCTGAGTATCGTTTAAAAAAATTATATTTATTAGTGCCATCTCATTGACATCTGTCCAACCATCTGAAAGAATGTCATATTATTAGCCCCTTGCAGTGTTACCAGATTCTGTCAAAAAAAGACCGTACGTTTCGTTCGAATTTACCTTAATTACAAAAATGACTCAATGGACAATATTAAATAACGTCAACTTGACATAATTGCATTTAGTTGCATTGTTTCATTGTGTCATTTTGTAATTAAGGTAAATTCGAACGAAACGTACGGTCCTTTTTTGACAGAATCTGGTAACACTGGCCCCTTGTACTTTATTTTTAACTACTTTTGGGATTCTAGCATATTCAGAGTTAAGCAATGTTGTACGTAATTTTTTTCTTTCAGGTAGCTTAAAACTTGAACATAGTTGCTTAAAAAATATTACAACCTCAGGGTTTTTGACTAAACTAGAGTAAATTGCTCGAGAAAAAAGTTCTTCCAATTTATTCTGATCGTTAATTCTTTTATGTTTCCAGTACTGGCATTGCTACGTAATGGACTCTTTTCTTGACTTTCAGTAGACTTAAAATTTTGCATTGATAATATATATATATATATATATATACATATATATATATATATATATGTTTGACCATTTTGGTTGCATTAACGACCTATATTTTTTACAGTTACTGTACAGTTACGGATAATAGTAATGTCCATTTGTCCATTGCAAAACTAAATTTATGGTAAAAAAACCCTTTTTTAAGAAAATATTGTGCTAAAACAATGCGCAAAGAAAGCGGCATTTTTTATTTAAAAAGAAATGGTAAATAATTATGAATGTTATTATTTATTTTTAAATAAAAATGCCGCTTTCTTTGCGCATTGTTTTAGCACAATATTTTCTTAAAGAAACGGTCCTACTTAATTTTACCATAAATTTAGTTTCGCTGTATAGGTAGGAGAATCTTGAAAATTTCTATAAATTCAACTTTTCCGTTGAATACGTTTTAAAAGAGTTAATTTATCATAAAATGATAAATGTAAAGCCTAAAAAAAATTGTTTCAGTTTTATCGGTCCACTAATCCGTTGCCGAGTTATACAATTTTAAAGTATTTTAAAAAATCTTATGTTATTTTAGTGGGAAATAGAAATTCCCGATGAGGGACCTATAAATTTAATATAACAAGACCATTTTTTTGACCTATAGGTATATCATAGGTATGTTAATTTTTTTAATATAATTTTATCAAACGGTTTTTGATAAATCGTAGTATATTTAATTTAAAAATATAGTAAACATAAAAATTCTTAATATATTTTTTTAATTTTAATACATAAATAATTATGAGGAAATATATAATATATATTTTATGGTTTTATACATATGTATGTTTATAATAACAAAACTATACATATAAAACTATAAAACATATTTTATTTTATAGTTTTATAGGTATGTTTGTTATAGTTTTGTAGGTATGTTAACTTTTTTATTATAATTATATCAAACGTTTTTTGATAAATCCTAGTATATTTAATTTAAAAATATACCAAATATAAAAATTCTAAATATATTCATGTAATTTTAACATAAATGTATAAATAAATAAACAACAAAAAGGTTAGAATGATTTTAACTTTGTTTATTGTTTTTATTTTGTTTATCTATTCAAAGAGTTTTTTGCAAACGATTTATGAATTGTGATAAATAGATCTTCAACAAACTTCTTCTTCTCTAAACGAACACAAATTAACTTCTTCTTATTCAGATTCTTGGCCTTAACTTCGCAAATTAGCTGCTAAACAATTGACATTTACATTAAAAAAAGAGGAAAAGTTTTCAGTAACTTTAAAAGAAACTTTCGAAGTAAAAATAAATTCCCGACTAAACTTATTCAAGGTATTGTGCTTAGCTTCCAGAAAAACCACTCGAAGACTCTGAAGACGAAGTCGAGCTGGAATTTATGGACTTGTGCTCTTTCGACTTGACCATGGACGAGGTTATTTTGGAGCCCAGTTTCGAGGCTGAGGCCCCGGAAGGCTTCCAATTTACTTCCAGGAAAGATGCAGAGAAGCAAGCACTTGATGAGACTACCAAACGCGGAGCAAAGGGTTCTGTTGATGGTAAAATTGGTGCTGGAGATTCAGGTTCTGTGTTAAGTGGTAAGTAGGAGAGATGCTTTAATTTTTTTTGTACTACACACAGGCAAAATAATCGATCCACACAAATTTTCGATGAATTTCAATCGCAAATAACTTTTTTATTTGATGTCGGATTTAAACGAATATTAAAGAATATTGTAGATAAATTAATGGACAATCGCTCACATTTTAAAAAACTACTAAAAAATGGACGTACATTTATAATACTTATACAAGTTTAAACAAAAAGATATTTTTTACCATAAGTTTAAGACACTCTGTAGAGTGGAAAAACCGTATATTGTTCTAAATTAAGTTTTATTTATCAAGTCACATATATTCTTAACAGTTTTGTTTTTGGTTCACCTCGATATATTTATTTTTGTGAAAAATATGAATTTTTTAAAAAAACATTGCAATTTCAAATATTTTTCTGTATGAAGAACTAAGGTTGCTATGGTAAAAAACACAATCCACACAACAAGGTCTGTTCTATCTCATGCTAAAAATACTAAAAATCACTGCAACACTGCACAGAGTTTAACGGCGGCCATTTTTGTTGTTTACAATTCTTCTGCTTTGGGTTTGTGCTGTTTAATAATTGTTTTAAACGTTGTGTTTCTTACAGAGGCACTTGTAAGCCTCAAATAAGGCCTTTAAGTGCTAAGGACAACCATTTTACTCCTCTTTTATACTAAATTTACCTTATTCTATCAGGGCTGTCAAATGACAATTTGAAGGTTAATTTGTGGGTTATAATTTAACCTTAAAATTGACATTTGACAGTTTTATGATAGCCCTGATAGTATAAAGTTTATTTTTACAATAGAGGAGTAAAATGGTTGTTCTTAGCACTTTAAGGACTCTTTTAAGGCTTACTATGAGAAACACAACGTTTAAAACGATTTTTAATCTGATTAAACAGAGCACAAACCCAAAGCACAAAAATTTTAAACAACAAAAATGGCCGCCGTTAAACTGTGCAGTGTTGTAGTGATTTTTTATATTTTTAGTACGAGATAGAACAGACCTTGTTGTTGTGTGGATTGTGGTAAAAAACATATTTTTGTTTAAACCTGTATATTATAAACGTACGTGTATTTTTTAGTAATTTTTAAAATGTGAGCGATTCTCCAATAATGTATCTACAATATTCTTTAATATTTGTTTAAATCCGAAATCAAATAAAAAAGTTATTTGCTATTGAAATTCATCGAAAATTTGTGTGGATTGATTATTTTGCCTGCACAGCAAACGGAAAATTATAGAGGTGTATAGGATGACGCCAAGTTTGAATATTGTTTTTTAAATCTCCCCACGGTATAGATTTGTATTCGTCAGTCGAGCGTTTAAATACTCTCCACAGTATAGAGGTCGTAATTTCACTTTTGAACTAGTATTAATATAAAAATTATTTTATGCTTAAAAAAAACTATATACGACATGATTGTGATTTTTTTCATTTTATTAATTAATTAAGCTGTGTTGAATATTTTTTCTAAAGGAATAATTGCCAATGGGCCATTAATTCATTTGTTCGTAGATGCTACAATAAGCTGCACTGGTGTGTACTTTTTCATCAAACAGATTTAAATATTGCTGTACTAACATATACCAGTGGAGATAGTGCAAGGTCTACCAACAGACCTCATTACTAAATTATTAAAGTTTAATACTTAGCATATCGATCATTTTTTCAACATAACCTCTGAAATTTTTAATACAAATATAGGTACTTTATATAATACATAAATATACTTAACATCATATCCTCTGTGCTTTACATACCTGAGTTGTTACGGTAAATAAAAATCAGACAAAGGAACCAAAGAAAGGAACTATTTTCAACAAAATCATATGCAGAAATGAGAAAATTCAAACTACTTGCATCCATCAAAAGATCAAAACTTCTTGCAATATTACACCCTCTTTTTATACTCTCAGAAATATTGACTAGAACAGTATTAGAGAGACTCCAGTTTCTATAACTTGGTAGAGTAAAGAGAAGTCGAAACCGTTGCGATATTGCATTGCGCTGTTTTTGTATAATTCTCGGGGACATTAACGAAAATCATTGCCAGTAAAATTCGAAAAGCTTGAGTTTCTATGAGAGAATAGGAATCCAAAGAAAGGAACTATTTTCAACAAAATCATATGCAGAAAGGAGAAAATTCAAACTACTTGCATCCATCAAAAGATCAAAACTTCTTGCAATATTACACCCTCTATTTATACTCTCAGAAATATTGACTAGAACAGTATTAGTGAGACTCCAGTTTCTATAACTTGGTAGAGTAAAGAGAAGTCGAAACCGTTGCGATATTGCATTGCGCTGTTTTTGTATAATTCTCAGGGAAATTAACGAAAATCATTGCCAGTAAAATTCGAAAAGCTTGAGTTTCTATGAGAGAATAGGAATCCGAAGTTGCTGCACCATTGGACTGAACCCTTTTTTAATAATTTCTAGAGACATAAATGACTGCACCATTCGACAGGGTCGAGTTTCTACCTCTCTGTTGAATATAGAAAATCAAAACAATATATCTTGTAAGACACCATTGAGTTTGACTTTAAATATAGTCGTGCATAGGTATAGAGCCGAAAAATATAAAAACAAAGCACGATTCAATACAGTTCTGATAAAACTTTAAGATTTAATATTCAAACGCGGAGTCATCCTATACAGTTCTATATTTTTCCGTTTGCTGTGTGTGAGTGTAGATTATGTTTTTTTTTAGATTATGCCAAGAGGATCCAATCTTTGTGCAGAGGCTCGAAGTTCGACATATCCGGGTATCCGATAGAGATTGGCGAGGACGGCGAAGACCCTTACTTGGACCAAAAAGGCATGATGCCTCCGATCTTCGAGGGCTACGAACTGGACGGCGAGGGCATGGACGACGACACGTGGTTCTGGGCGCAGGCCAGATGGGCTCAAGTGCACACCGAATCTCTCGAGATAGCCTACATCGGCCGCATCTCGGAGATGGTGAACACCGAATTGACCGCCTTCCCTACCGACCCGGAAAAGCTGTATCCCACCTTCATAAGAGACAGGATCGATGGGAAGAGGGGTCGCCCAATAAGCCCTGAGGGTTTCGAAGAAGGCAGCGAAGAGATACAAAATCAGGAGACCGAACTGTTGCAACTCACAAACTTCAAAGTTACTCCGGACAGCAGTCAACTGGTAAGTGTTTTAAGTGTTTTCTCTATAGTCCAGTCGCACGGTGGGTTGGAATGATACTTTTCTGGTCAAAACTAATTTGTGACCTTAATAATTAATAATTAAAAATAAGCTTTGTTTTTTTCATTTTATTCAAAAATAAATGCTCTGCAAAAAAAACTATTGTATGGTTTTTTCGTTAACCTATGCATTCAAAAGATATCTTAGGTCAAAGTTAATTTCTTTTTATTTGGACTATCAAATTGACAGTAATATTTATTATTGATAATTTACTTGTTAATTATTATATAATATCGATATAAAAAGATAACTATTCCAAAAATAATATCAGATTCTAAAGTAAAAGAACTTTTAAGGGCAAAACTTTATTTTGAGGAAGTTATACCAAATGCCTCAATGGCAGAAAAAGTACATCGCCTGGACATTTTTGGAATTAAAAATTATCGTTTTTGGTTTTACAAAATTTGGAAAATTAATTACTAGATTTTTCACAAAAAGGTTGAACCTAACAGCAAATAATTTTTATTTTTAATATTTAATATTAAATCACACATTATTTTCAGCTAAGCAGATCAAAAATTTTTGAAACTTTAAAAAATAATGGGGAAATTTAAAAACAAAAAATAAAAATTATTTGCTGTTAGGTTCAACTTTTTTGTGAAAAATCTAGTAGTTAATTTTCGTGTTTTTGAAAATAGCATCCATTTCGTCACCCTAATATAACAAGGTTGTATGTTAAAAAAAATTTAAGTTTATGTTTCTACAGGATTATACGGGGCCTACGCTTTACATACCAACTTAAAAACAATTCTATACAATGTATATTCTATGTATGCATATATATATATATATATATATATATATATATATACATATATATATATATAGAGTTATTTTCAAGTTGTATGTCAAGCGTAGATTACATAAAACCTTGTAGAAGCATAAACTCAATTTTTTTGTTTTTTTAACATACAACCTTGTTATATTAGGGTGACGATTTGGTTTGAAAAAGATGAGCAATAATCACGAAACTTTTTTTTTTCAATTTGCAAATTACTGATCATTAATAGTCGTGGACAATATATACATTATAATTATTATTAAGCCACTACAAATAGTGGCTTTAACAAAATACCCATTCACAATTGGAGTCCAATGATTGAACAACATTCTCGTGTGTTCACATAAAATTTTAATTTTTTTACATAAATTCTTTTCAAAGCGAAGATTATTATCCGCTAGGAATACTTTGTCTCTCCTGGGCCGTAGTCACCTATATTTAACTACTTTTTTTTATATGATTTTACTCATCTACGCACCACAAAAAAGTAAAAGATTACCAATAGCTACATGATTTGTTTTATGAAATTAATAATTTATTTAAAAGAAAGAAAATGTTCATAAAAAAAAATTTAATATTAAATGATTTTATATGTAATATTAAAAAATTAACAATAGATCATAAATTTATTATAGTTAAGATTATAAGAGCGCTGTCTATAGCTGTTTTAACAATTTTAAATACAAAATTCTTAACGCGCCGCCTTTTATAAACCACTATAACTTTCTTAGGTGTTAAAAGATGTATCAATAACCATATATAGCCTTATTTGTTATTCTTTGGGCTACAATTTGGGGTAAACATTTTTTTGGACCAACTTGGACCGCCTAACTTATTTTTACATTATTTTATTTAATATAACTTTATAAGTACAATTAATAAAATGTTTTTTAACTTTTTCTTTTGGAAGTTTTGTCTTCGTCTTTCGATTTTTTTGATTTTTTTGATAAAATAAAATTGACTTTTTGTACTTTTGGCCTACCGTGCATCGTTTTACTTTGCGTGCTGAGGCACTGTCTGTTTTTTTTTCATGAATTGATAAGGGCTTATTTGAAAATTGAAGGGGTCAATGCAAGAAGTGCCTAAGTCACATTTTCAATAAAATTGACATTGTGGCGCTATCTAAAAGTGTTTCACGTAAACTTTCAGGTGGTATTTGCAGAGTGGTATTTGCAGAGTGGCAGAAATATGTGCCTTCGTTTGCATTTACTTCAATGGGAGTTTACCTGGTTTTCAATGCAAGAAGTACCTAAGTTATCATTTTGACAGATGCACTGCAACATGTGGCTTACTCTCTAAAAATGAATTAGTCAAAAATGACTAATTACTACAGTTATAATAACTAATAATTAGTGGATGCTTTTAATTTAATTATTGAAAACTTTATAAAAAAAAAATTGATATTTTACTTTTCATTGTGTAATATACGGGGGGTCGAGATATTCGCTAAAAACTATAAAAAAGTATTTCTGCATACATCTTTGTAAGAAACAATGGTCAGGTGGTGAAAATTTGGTTTTAGGCTTTTCAAATATCGATTTATGAAAAAAACAGAATAATATTGTTGATATCTGTGGAAATGCAATTTTCTTATAGGTAAGAGGTTCCATCAACGTGGCAGATTTGGGTGGTGAAATCGAATATGCAGCCCCGTTTATTTGTGTAATGGCTGCCACCGTAGCAAAAAAATATACACTTGGAACATGGTCGGCCGATATAGTGGATTATGTTTTGAGATGCGGAAAAAGTTTATACGATAATTCGCCTGTTAGATATGACCAGGTAAAAAAATTACAATCGACACCATTTTCTATGAAACAGTATATACAGGGTGAGTTTTAAGTTGACGCAATTTTTTTAGAAATTAAATAGACAAACAAATATTCCAAGTAACTTTTTATCAAACTTGAATGAAACAGCCTTTCAAAAAATCACAAATTAGATGAAAACGTAGAAAAATGTGTATGTTTACCTGTTAAACTTACTTTTTTTTCAAAATTCCTTGAAATCACGAAGTTATAACGATTTTTTGTTTTGACAGGTTTTCAGTTCTTAAACAATTTCAGTTTTTAAAATATCAATGACAAACAAGGAAAACCTTATCCGATTTAAAAAATCAGTTTCAACTTAAAGACAATTTAAAAAATACACCCCTGATAGCAAAATTTGATTTTAAGAATCTTTTAAGAAGATATGACCCGGAATAGTGGAATATTCTTAGAACCTTCCCTTATTGCCAAGAATGTTCTTAGGGACTTTTAAAACATTCAATAGATACCCTTTTAATGATGCAATTAGAATCTTAAAAGCTTCTTAAAACCTTCCTAAAAAGCACCCTAAGAACATTTTAAGAATACGTTTTTGGAATGTTCTTAGACGGTTTCTTATGGAGCTTCTAGGAAGCTTTTGAGAATATTTCCAAATATGTCAGATACCCACGTTCTAATATGTTGGATTCTAAATTCGTAAAATTCTTCAGGAGGCGACAAATACGCGTCACTGTCATAATATGACAGTGAAATGTATTTGTCGTCCCCTTAAAAAATTTTGCGACATATTAATATATATTTATTTAAAAATATTAAATAAACAATTTGACCTTTAAACCATAAGTTGTATGACATTATTTCATAAAAATTAAAATTGGGATAATGTTGTGAGATAAGTCAGATTAGATTGAAGTTGAAGATAGTTAGGATTATTATAAATAAAAATCGGTATACAAATTAATAAATATTTATTTTTAACATAAAATAAAATATAAAAAACAAAATATTTCCTTATAAAATAATTCTTCATAAAAGAAAAAACCAAATAGTTCTTCATAAAAAAACATTTTTCATTGTATTTAAGTTGGATAGAAGATTTTATGTAAAAGCCGGATAATTTAGATACCTATAGTTTTTAGTTGTTTTGACAAATAACTATAAAAAAATATTTTGAGTTGTGTTTTTTACTTAGTATCTAATACTAAGTATATGTACCTTTATACGTAGATTATAGTATATTTTACTATTATATATGTACCTAACTGAACTGAATATGCTTAACAGAATGTTCCAGGAATATTCCTAAATGAACTTTCTATAGCAATTACTTTCTCAACATTCTAAGCATATGTTTAGAGTGGATTAATTTTTACCACTAAACTTTGCACCTTCTAAGAACCTGCCTATAGGCCAGTGAGAATATTCTTAGGATTATGCTATATTTCTTTTAAGCATATTCTTTAGAAGAAATATAGCATGATCCTAAGAATATTCTTACTGGAAGGTTTACAAAACATTCTTAGAACAAGACTAGAAGAAATATAGCATGATCCAAGAATATTCTCACTGGAAGGTTTAAAAAACATTCTTAGAACATGACTAGAAGAAATATAGCATGATCCTAAGAATATTCCCACTGGAAGGTTTAAAAAACATTCTTAGAATAAACTGTGCTATCAGGGAGATATCTATGAAGATGGGTTATTGAAGAGGAATAACTTGGAGACAAGATACCAACATGTACCTAGTAAAAAAGTTACTTGCAATGATTTTCTATTAAAATTTGAGAGTCAACTTAAAACTCCTGTTGAAACCAAAGATTACTAATATTTATACCATTCGGTTATCGTTGTCAGAAATCTTTTGCCATTAACAGTAACGACATCTTTTTGATCACTTATAGTCGCTTCATATATTGATATTAATAAAAAACATAATTGTAGGTCACGAAACTGGATATACCTAAAATCACTCTGGGTTCTACAGATTTCAAAGTGTCAATAAACTACGTTTTCGATAGCTATATGAAGCAAAAAATGGTTGAAATGGCCATGTCTAAAATTTTGCTGTCGCAACACGATATGGGCATTCTAGTTACACCAACTTACGCTTGCACCATAATGTACAAAAAATTTTTGTTTTATCTCTATGATCCATTTGGTAACAATGAGGTTGGAATGGGCGACGGGTCAAACAATAAAGGTATGCTCTTTTTTCCTTAAAGTAAGTATGGGTCATTATACTTTTTACCCCATCTACCTCTGAAAAATAAATATTTTACATTTTCATATCCATTGTGACTATTATTTAGGCAAACTAAAGGTAAGTCTAATGTTACTCCCAGCAGTAAAGTTTTGCTTAAAGAGTCTCTTATTTTTAAGTTTTAATATCGTAGCGATAGCAGTGCAGTGTGAAAAAAGATACATATGACGAAGAAGACATTTTTCAAAATAAAAAAACTATTTTACAGGTGTCACAATAAATGCACATAAAACATTGCATTAATTAAAAATAAACAAATTGGTTTACTTAACATAAAAAAGAAAATTAAATACTGCAAATACTTCCCGAGTAAATGCAGTGGCGAAAGATAACCTTTAAAACACGATGCTAGTTTGTAACACGCAAAATAACAATAGCGATACCATTGCTTGCAGCGGCGCCATCTCGTGCCACAGTTATAAACTACATGGGTTACAGAGTTTTTCTATATGTAATGCTAAACTTTAGTGTATTTTGTAACAAAGCTGTTTTTATTTAGGCGGTTTGTGACGAAGTAGATATTAAATATAAGCTTAAAAAAATTATTCAGAAATTATTTAGAATTCTGTTTCATACAAAACCTATGAAATATATCTAAGTTTTCACTATTGCAATATGATGAGGACATGGGGTTATAGAGTGTGATGATAACTTTTAACCTTAATTAAGACATTAAAAATATTTTTATATTTAATTGAAAACTTTTCTATTAATTTTTGTTATTTTAAGTTCTTATTTGAGGAGCTATTCTGCAAAACGCAGTTTTTGAAAAAAGTCATTTTTTCAGGATAGAGAAATATTTACTATATACTTAATTAAGAAATTTGAGTTTTTGTAAAAAAATGTAAAAATAAAGAAAAATGCGTGAATTTCATACAACTTCGTCAAAATATTGTTTTTTTCTTGCAGTTACTGTATCTCAGTGGCGGCTGGTGGATTTTATGTATACCAATATCTCAGTTTTTAGACATGGGACGCAAACCAAACAGAATTTAAATTGAAGTTTGCGAAAAAAAGTTTAGTTTTTCCTGTCGCTTCACCCACCTCCAGCCCCCCTATTTGAGATAATTCAAGTTAAAGTGGTGCAATTTATTATCTACTATAATTTATCGACAAATTTATTTAAAAAATCCAAATATTACAGATTTTATTCGATTTCAAATTTTTATTATTTATTTTATTAAAATAAAAAAATATTTAAAATGGTATAAAACCTGTAATATTTGGATTTTTTAAATAAAATTTTAAATTTGTCGATAAATTCTGGTAGATAATAAATTGCATCACTTTAATTTGAATTATCTTAAATAGGGGGGCCTGAAGGCGGGTGAGGCGACAGGAAAAACTAACTTTTTTTCGCAAACTTCAATTTAAATTCTGTTTGCACCGAACTTGTCTATTTAATGTCATTAAAAACTATTATAAATTTGGTGTGGGTCCCATGTCTAATAACTGAAATATTGGTATACCCAAAACCCACCAGCCGCCACTGCTGTATCTCTTTAAAAAAATCGAAACTACATTTTAAACTAAACACCCCAAAATACTGCGGGGTTTGCAATGGAATTTACTCATAAATTGCGGTCTGCTTAAATCATGAACATTAATTTTATTTAGAAGGTAACCAGTGACAAAAAAATTGGTTAATTAAACAGTAAATTCTAACATACAACTTAAAAAATATTAAAGGTATTAAATTTTCAGGCGAATGTCTACTTCGTTGCAGTCGCAGATCAAGTTTTCTTCATCGTCCCCTTCTTCCCCTGTTGCAACATTGTTTCGGCATCTGCATCTGCATACCATTTTAGATCTCCTACTTCCCTCCAATTAACTTTGTTGCCAGCTTCGTTTTTTCTATAAGATTTTTGTAACAAATTGATAATTTCTTTTTTTTCTTCACTTTAATGGACCTACCTTGTTTAACTTTATTCAATTTGAAATTGAAAATTGATTTTCCAGTTTTGGTTCATTTAGGTCGTTCTAGAATTTCAAAGTAACTTTTCCAGAATCGGTTTTTTGTATTAAAATTCTCTTCGATTCACTAATATTATCAAGTTTTTTGAAAGTAGAATTTAGCTGTTTTATGTCATAAACATACCAATCAGTTCCCAAAACTTCCCTATTTCCCCAAAAAATGCTCAAATAATCCTCTTTTTTTAATTTCTTCTTTCTTCCTTGTTTTCTTTTTAATTCTTCCAAAAACTCGATCCGCAGTTAGAAATGAGTGACCCCTTACTGGGAAAAACAAGATGACTTGTTTGATACTATGTGGGGCTTTATTGTTAAGCCAGTATGTCAGAATATTGACCACATTCGAATTTTTGTTTTGTCCAGAACACCCATCATCTTGTTTATTATTTTTTTAATAAGAAATATTAGGTACTATGCTCCACACCTCAAAGTCCCACCACGTGACCACGTGCGGAACGCAGTCTTTTGAAAATTTGGCATTTAAGGCTTTTCAGGTTATGTATCTGTCAAAGTATAGTCAACGAAAGAAATAATATTATGTTTGAGCGTTAAAAATGTATAAATCTTTATAACATTACAATAACAATGGATGGTTTAAGAATTTAAGAATATAAATACTGCATTTAATGAAATTCCAAAGTGTAGGGTGCCAAATAAGTAATATTTTTGTGCATTTGGTCCAAATATCTGGTTTTCTCCATAAAATAATTTTAACTAAACAGCATTTATTAAAAAAAATCTAGCTTCTCTATTATGGAATAAGAATATCTGTTTTAAAGGTAGGTTAATATATTATAACAAAAATATCATCTAATTTTGTAATTTTAAGGTTAGAAAAATTTATTTTCAACAAAATAAATAAGTATTTTGGATTATTTAAAAGACTGTATAATATGGTATTTAAAAATGTGGTAGTTTTTCTTATCCAGCTTAAAGTGTACCTACATAAAGTTTTGTCAATACAAATAGTTAAAAAGCTTCGACTGAACTTAATCTACATTGAAAAATCATTATAACTTTAAAAATTTTAATAAATCACATGTCATGGGAGTATTAAATATTTTCACATTGCAAGTTTCTCTAAAAATTGTTTGTTTTCTTATAATCTAACTTAAAGTAGGTATGCCGAGAGGTATGCACAAGTTTTGTCATTAGAAGTATAAAAGCTTTAATTTAATTTGAACCATATTCAACAATTATTATTTAGTATACCTATATTTATTTATGACCGTATTAACACACTCTTCCAAATAATCCACTTATTTATTTTGGTTAAAATAGATTTTTCTAACCCTAAAATACAAAATTAGGTGATATTTTTTGTCCTAATACATTAACCTACCTTTGATACAGATATTCTTATTTCTTAATAGAGAAGTTAGATTTTATTTTAATAAATGCTGTTTAGTTAAAACTATTTTATGGAGAAATGTAGACCCAATGCACAAAAATATCACTTATATTGCACCTTACACTTTGGAATTTCATTTAATGCAGTATTTATATTCCTAAATTCTTAAACCAACCATTGTTATTGTTATACTATAAAGATTTATTAAATTTTAACGCTTAAACCTAAGCGGTAACACTATAAATATTATTTCTTTCGTTGACTATACTTTGACAGATACATAACCTGAAAAGCCTTAAATGCCAAATTTTCAAAAGACTGCGTTCCGTACGTGGTCACGTGGTGGGACTTTGAGGTGTGGAGCATAGTACAACTGACAAATGGCAGAGAGCCCTAATAGTATAATGACCCATGTACACTTATAACATGACGCTTTCGTAGGTACCGGCTGCATTATGAGATTTCTAAACCTGCGCGACCTAGTGAGAAGGATAATGCACAACAAAAAAAGACGCGAAATGACCGACCAAGTCGAATATTGCAGGTTCGTTCTGAGCTCAATCGACGTTAAAAGACTACCGAGAGATGAATGCTCGAAGCGCAAGAAAAAAGTTGAACATCAAGAAGGAGAGGAAGGAGAAGATGCCATACCTAAGGATTACGAGCAGGAGGGCGAAGGCTATGAGGGGGAGGAGGAAGGGGAAGAAAAGAAGGAGGAAGAAGCTCCACAACCGAAGATACAAGTGGGGTGAGTTGGATCTTGTGTTTTAAAATCGCCTTATCTACAGTCTTTTCATTTAACAGACGGATATTGATATACCTATATTTTTTAATATAAATTATTTAAAGGACAAAGTGTATAAGGCATGCATAATTTTTTTCATTGGGTTTAATTTAACCTTTTGTAAAAGCAGGGATTCTTGCCCCATTTCCAGCAAGGGTATAGCCAGGATTTTGTTCAGGGGGCAGGCAAGGGTAAACTATATGCATGCTACAAAAAGTTTCGAGACTCCACCTCCCACCCATTTTTTAGCACAATTTTTCCGGACATGCAATTTTTGAGTATAGCTCCCCCCTTTTGATTAAAAAAATTTATTCTGAAGCCATAATTTATGTATATCAAGCATTAACTAACATATGTTATCCTCTAGAGTTTGTTTCTTAATTTTTTTATATTCTATTCACAAATTTTAAATGTCTTTTTTCCCTCTCGAAAAAGGTGTTATTGGTACCTTTTAGAAACAGGTCTAGTATTCCTATAACAGTTATAGGAATACTAGACCTGTTTTTATAATATAATTAATTAATAAAAATTAAATAAAATTAAATAAAATTTGCACCAACTCCAACAAAAATTCTTTGTTCTTTTCAGAGGCTTTAAACCGTAATTTTGGTTTTTCATACCTTCCAATGCAAATTTACTAATACACATTGCAAACTACGAAGATAACCCAATTGTGTATGTTTTTGTCAATAATAAAATTTAGTCAGTTATAAATGTATTTATGTGTATATTAAATAATACATTTTAAAAATGTATCATTCTTATAATATAATAAACACATTTAAGTATGTGTAAGATAACCTACAAATCTTTACTGTCATTTAAAATTTGCTGTTGCCAAATCAGTGGATATTAGACTGGGCCAAAAAAATCGACTATTTTTTTTTTGTAAAGTATATCGAAAATATTGACAAAAAAAATTATGGTGAAAGTTTGAGCCCATAATATTAATATTAAGCGAGTTTTTGTTTTAGAACTCCCAAACCATTGAGTTTAACAAAATTGACTTAAAAATATTTTTGAAAGAAACTTGAATGTTCTACAAAAAAGGTTTGATTGGAATTTCCCGTCAGATGAATCGTTTTCTTACAATCATGCCTTAAAAATTGGTTTAGTGCAATTTGATCTTTTAACTTTGGAATTTTGTAATTCATGTAAAAATCAGTACCCGGAAAAAAATATATATAGATATTCTTATGGGAAATCAAATGCTCTACAAAAAAGTCTCCTAACATTTTTGGCTAAATTCACTCCATCAAAAGTTATTCAAGGTTAAATTTGAAGTCAAAACGAAATTCTTGTTTTTTCCGCTCGGTTAAAAACTTGAATTCTTTTATCGATGATAATCTTTATGTAATTGATAAAATTACTGAAAATTAAAACAAAAATAACACATTAGAGTTTTTTCGCTTTAAGAAGCTATTTTTATATATTATATCACGAGAACTATGAATTTAATCAGGTAAACTAGGCTCAGTAGTGTTTTGTTTGGTTTTTGTTGGAAAATGTTGAATGCAAAATAATTTAATAAAATCACGAGACCGCGTAGCGGTCGAGGGGTTTTATTTTTAATTATTTTGCATGAAACTATTTTCCAAAAAGAAAAATCAAATAAAAAACTTACTGAGCATAGTTTGACAGATTAAATTTATAGGTTGAGTGATATACGTCTAGATTATTTCTCGAATTAAAGGAAACTATTTGACCATTCATAAAATCTGACGTATGTGTAAAAATTTATAAATATTTTTTTAAAGAAAATTCCATTAATTTAAGGTATGTAATAAGTAATAATTGATATTTCGTAAACTAGATAACTTATTTTTTATTGTTTTTAAAAAAATGTTTGTTAAAACTTGTAAATAACACCATAAAATCGTAAACAAAAATCCAAAATGGAGGCTAAAATTTAATCGCTGTTAAATAGTTCTAGTGATTTAATCGCTTATTTAAACGAAATTTATTCGAAAATTCAAGGCTTTTGATTGGTTATATTATATTGAGGGAAATAATCATATATTATATCACGAGAACTATGAATTTAATCGGTTAAACTAGGCTCAGTAGTTTTTTGTTTGGTTTTTGTTGGAAAATGTTGAATGCAAAGTAATTTAATAAAATCACGAGACCGCGTAGCGGTCGAGGGGTTTTATTTTTAATTATTTTGCATGAAACTATTTTCCAAAAAGAAAAATCAAATAAAAAACTTACTGAGCATAGTTTGACAGATTAAATTTATAGGTTAAGTGATATACGTCTAGATTATTTCTCGAATTAAAGGAAACTATTTGACAATTCATAAAATCTGACGTATGTGTTAAAATTTATAAATATTTTTTTAAAGAAAATTCCATTAATTTAAGGTATGTAATAAGTAATAATTGATATTTCGTAAACTAGATAACTTATTTTTTATTGTTTTTTAAAAAATGTTTGTTAAAACTTGTAAATAACACCATAAAATCGTAAACAAAAATCCAATATGGAGGCTAAAATTTAATCGCTGTTAAATAGTTCTAGTGATTTAATCGCTTATTTAAACGAAATTTATTCGAAAATTTAAGGCTTTTGATTGGTTCATATTATAATGAGGGAAATAATCTTTGGAAAATATTATTTTCACTGTTACCTATTTAATCGTTTAAATAATAACAATCATGTTGTTTTTTTATTAGAAATTGTTAATTAGTTTAAAAAATCAAATTATCACCCATAAAAAAAAATCCACAGAGGAAAAAACAAGAATTTCGTTTTGACTTCATCTTTAACCTTGAATAACTTTTGATTGAGTGAATTTAGCCAAAAATGTTAGGAGGCTTTTTTGTAAAGCATTTGATTTTCCATTAGAATATTCATCGGTTTTTTCTGGGTACTGATTTTTACAAAATTTCAAAGTTAAAAGTCGGAAAATTTTATTTTAACCTTTTTTGTAGAGCATTTAATTTTCTTAGAAAAATATTTTTGAGTCAATTTTGGTAAACTCAATAGTTTGGGAGTTCTAAGACAAAAACTTGCTGATGAAAAAAAAATTAAAATTGCGATGACCTCTTAAAATTAATATTATGGACTCAAACTTTCACAATAATTTTTTTTGTCACCCCAAACCAAATTTTCGATATACTTTAAAAAAAAAATAGTTGATTTTTTTGGCCCAGTCTAGTGGATATGCGTAAATTAGTTGATATAAATAAATCAACGTCATTGACATCAACATATCTATTGTAGATACAAATATAAGAAGGGTCTATGGGTCATAGAAGGCACAACAGTTTTGGAAGGTCGCACCGACGTCCAAATGGACTTAAAAAATGATCATTTTATATGTCTCTGTGCTCTTTTGATGGCAATAACGTGTCCCGTTATAAAATGGAACACCACCAAAGTAGACGCGGTTTTTGACCACGGCAATCACATCTACAACCATGCAGACGACAAAAAGGTCTCGAATAGACGTACCATCAAGAACATACTAATTGGAAAAAACTTTTTCGATATAATCGTCAAGAAAATCAGCATTGACGCCCAAGTGTTGAACACGAGCATAAAAACCGGCGTCGGTACTTTACTGTCGTGGAAAATGAACTGCTTCCTGGTGCAATTCCCATGCGCGTGTTACTGCGTGTTTAAATCCGACGAGTTCTACCACCTTTTCGACCCGTACGGCCCCATAAACTTCAAAAAGAAGAAACGAAAATACAAGGCGGGGTGGGTTAGATGCCAGACCTTGGAGAAACTGCAGAAGCGCTTGCACAGAATCGGGAGGTTTCAGAAAGTTCAAAATTACACGTTCTACTCCTTCGAGGTTACGTCTATTAGGAGGGCTCCCAAAGAAATTTCGCTCAGGCAGAGGTTGCACTGTATTTGCACTGCTGATGATAAGAAACGTAAAGATGACGGTGAAAAACTTGGTGAGTGGACAAAAGTATTCTTGAAACAGTTTTATCGTAAGTAATATCATAAGGGCCTCTAATTTTTCGAAAAAACATGTTGCTAAGTAATATTTTAACAAGAAGCATGAGTGTTGGTGGCAGTCGAAGACGAGGATTTTTGCACCTGCACGAATGCATTTTGTTAAAAAATATTACTTGGCATTGTGTTTTTTCTATTTTTTTCACAGGAAAAAATTAGATGCCCGAATGGTATTTGACAAGACTATTTCATAAGTAAGAGTAATTCTGCATACACATAGCTTACAAAACATACTACCTACCATGCATACATAATAAATATGTAGGTGTTAATTTGAAAACTGAAAAATAGGTAATTTATTTAATCACAAAATACTACAAACTTAATTATTTATGGTACAAATAAAATATAAATTGCAATTTTGGTGACAACAGCTGTCAAGTTTTGCCGCGGGTAAACTCGAAAAAACTGCTGACAGGTGCTGTCATACAGTTTTTCTACCTAAAAACCATTTGAAATTCAAAATTGTGCGTTTGTGATTGGTGGAAATTAAGACGAGGGAAATAGTCGGTGGTAATACCACGTTAATTTTTATGAAAAACTGGTTTTGACGTTTTTGGTTTACCATACAAACAAACCGTTGTCAAAGCAACGTGGTATTTTCACTTACGGCTACTTGCACCGTTTTCTCTAACTGATCAGTTAAATAAACTGACAAGTTAAAAGGTAACAGGAGATTAGTGTCCAAAATCTTGCACAGTGATTTTTTTACTATGGTTTAAAATTTAACTATACATCTAGGGAATTTGACTAAAAAATGGAAAAGATTGGTATTAATAACTAACCACACTTATTTGTTACGCAAATATATTTTGACGTTAAGAGTTCGATTCATTATCATCTGTGGTTCGATTTTATGTCTTGTACGACCTATTCAGTTGATGGTACGAGAGAATAATATGGATACAGATCGCTCCTCAAATTTTTCAGATAATGAAAAAAATCATTTAATTAGTCCTGTAGATACAAGGGTATCATTGAAAACAAAGAGACATATAGGGCTAAAACAATTAGAGCAGGAAATTAACAATAAAAATAATGTTAAAGAAATGACTTTCGGGTTTAAAATTTTTAGAAGATAAACAAAAACTTAATATATGTATTATAATAATAAACAAGAAGTGACCATTTATTTTATTTTAATTTTAAATATCTATAAATTAAATAAAACATTAAAAATATTATTCAAATTAAATTTTATAAATTGTCAAAATAATCTTGTATTAATTGAGGCATGTCAGAGCAAAGTCAACAATCTCCCGTCAGACTAAAACTGAGTAAATTGAGATAATTGATTTTGGTATTTTAAATTCTAGATTTGTAATTTTTTTTATATATTATATTGAAATATTGTTGTTGTTAGTCTAGTAGCCAACTACAAGGTCTCCAGGATGCATAGTATAGGTGAAATCGGTAATTATAAATTGGAGATTGCTAACTTTGATATGAATTGCTGGAGATTGCTCATTTTGTTGTAAACGTTTAAGGAGATTTAAAAAAATAAACAAAAAAATAATTAAATTTTTATTCCTTTAATGGTTATAAAATTTAACTATACAATCAATGTGGGAAAATTCTGAACTGGACCACATAAATCTGGAGTTTCTTGTAAATCTGGGACCAAGTTGCCTCGTGCAAAAAAGTTTTTTTATAGTACCTACAACAACTCATCATCTTCTTCCCACTTTGCTCCGTAATGTTGTACTTGCAATGTTTTGACATTATCAGCCTTTTCTTGCTTTACCTTTACGTCTTATTATGGTTTAATAGCACAAAATAAACAAGATAACTTTTTTTATTATTCTTAAAACAATAAAACGTATATATAGTATATACCTAAGTATTTTAAATATATTTTTAAGTGCAATTTACTGCAATAGAACTTAACAGTATGTACCAGTAAAAAAACACAAAATTAAATCTCTAAAATACGTTATAACATCAAATGTTAGGATATCAGGTGACACAAATTACTAATTTCTAATGGTGGAATTGGAGATTGTATTCTTTGCTGCAAATCTATCAGTGGAGATTGTCGACTTTGCACTAAATGTCATTTTTAAAATAGGATTTTAGGCAGGATTTAGCTCCTTTTGCAGCACATAAACTTCAAAAATCTAATTTTTGACCAAAAGTGGAGATTGTCGGTTTTGCTATGACAGGCCTCAATTGATTTTGAAACATGCGATCTTGTGGATGAGTAACAACAGGGTACTCCAGTTGATGGCATTAATATCATCAGGCAATGGTGGCTCTGGTTTATTCATGTCTCTAGCAATATTATGTAGTACAGCTGCAGCTGGAATAATGGACAAAACTGTATCTAGTTTTAATCTAGTTGTAATCTGGTTCTTAGTAGTGACTCATTATAAAGTTGCTGACCTCTATATTTATAACTATAATTATTGGATTTGCTAAAGATGTCAATAAATAATATCTTTGGAAAAAAAGATCTTGAATACCGATTACTAGTACTTTTGAGGTTATAAATCGTTAACGGTGGATTAAAGTAATTTAAACCACCGAAATTGGGGGTTTATTTTAACAGTAGTTTAGAGGTATTTAAACAAGGATTAATTTACGGTGCAAGCCAGTTATGAAAAATAAACCTGTGTTAAAAATAAAACCACTGTTAAACTTACGGTGCAACTGGCCATTAATAATTTTTGAAATTCCACTTATTAGTTCCTTACCTTTTACATTGTTAAAACAATGCATAAGTGAAATTTTCGGGGGTAATACCTCGAGTGCTTAAAAATTATCGATAATTTTTATTAAAGCGTAGTTGTTTATAATTTGCACAACAAGCTTTAATGAAAATGATCTGGTTTACTTTTAAACACAAGCGATATTTAACGATTCATTTTAACGAGTTTTGTGAAAAAACGTAGAAAAAAAACTGGTTTTGACGTTTTTGGTTATACCATACAAACAAAAAGTTGTCAAAGCAACGTGGTATTTCCACTTGGATACTCTTTAAAGGGCAAGGAAAACTTGGAGCATTGTGGAGGATAATTAATTTGAATGTTCCTTCAACCGTGATTTTTCTCCTCTAGGTAAACCTTTCAATGAAGACCCAGAATGGCTTATGGTCGACCCCATACCTTGGTCCCGAATGGTTCAGAGAGCACCCACTGGATACCAGCGAGGCTGCGCTGAAAACATGTGGAACAACTGGGATGTCGAGTATCCCAAAGACTTGTACTCCATGATATCCACAATTTCCGGATACGATGAATGGATTCCCGAGGAAAGACGGGGCAAGGGAGTGCTGTTTAACTTGGTAAGTTTTGTCCATGGGTCAGTTTCAAGAAACACCCGCTTTCAGGAAAATGAAGATCAATTTTTTTTTTGCTTAAATTGACTTTTCGTTGGATTTTTATAAATGTTTAGAGTTTTGTTTACTTACATTTAAGACAGGCAGTGCACTTTTTTATTTTTTTACGTTTTTTTTCAGAAAAATGTGTTTAGCTAGCTTTATATATGTCCACTGTGTTACCAATTTCAAATCCAGAATTTAATTCAATAAAAAAAGTTGTTATAAAAATAATTTGAAATAAAATGTAGGTACTTAGTTCACAAACTTTTGACTATTTTTTATTTTATTTTTTATTAAAAATTGTATGCCTTTTTAAATATGTATGTTCGTTAAATTACTTTTTAAAAGAAACCATTCCGATTCTTTGTTAAAAAAACAATACCATTAATATTTTCTTTTAGTCACTGTATTAGTGAGTTAAACTCTAATTTATAAACACGTATTAACGAAATAGACATTGGAAAGTTAACGTAAAAATAGACAAGGACTTAAAGATAACGTAAAAAAGAAACTATAAAGGGTGGTACGTTTTTAGAGTAATGCATAAACAAAATACCTTGTAGTGGTGCTCACTTGCAGAATAACAACTTAGATTTCTAAATTGTAGACACCCATTTTCTTTGACTATAAGCTGGTGTCTTTTAGTACTTGTATATTGCGTGGAATGTTCCCTTGGATGTAATCTATATCATGAGTTGTAATCACAAATAATTGTAAAATGGTTTATCATAAACTACTTTTAATAAAAGCGACGGTAAATATCCACTTCGTTGTTGAAAAATTCTATTGCGTTACCCTAAATTCCATTAAGTTGCCATAAGGTAACATAATGGACTCGGTAACGCAGTGGACAAAGTTTTGTGAAACCATATTTAAAAAATAATAATAAGACATCACAGTCATTAGTTACTCTCAATGAGCTTTAGTGCCATAAAATAAACATAAACATGAAAAATAGTATTTTTTCTTACCTTATTTTTATTATTTTTTTGAGTAACTTAGCGGACAAACAATTATTACATTCGCGTTACCCGCACCTGTTTTTTGAATAAATAAATTCAGCTGGGTAATGTATACGTCCGAACATCATTTGTTGATCACGTGAGTGCCAAAAAAGTTGCCATATATATGTTTTTTTTAATATTCTATCGGACTTAACGGAACGGAAAAAATGTCTGGGACATGAGTCAAATTAAAAAAAAGTAGATAAAAATTAATTATTTTATATATAAATTGTTTACCGTATTAACTAAGGATGTTATGGATTGCTATAAAGCAACACAAAGTTCTGGTTATTCAATATTTAAAAAAGAAAACATGTATGTAAGTTTTATCTATTTTGGTTTCATAATGACTTCATTATAACACCGCTTTTGGTTCTTTAATGAGGTACTTTATTCCACCCAAAATTTTGATTTTATAGGTTGGCTACTGGTAAAATACAATTTTGAATACCTATAGGTTATATTATTTTTATGATTTGTTTTCTAGTACTTACGAGACTTTTCGTGCAATAAATTTTGTTTAACACCAAAGAAAATCCTTTTTTCTTCTTTAACAGCCGCTTATTGTAAATACTTATTGTAAATTAACGACGCCATAGCGAAAGAATGTGATAATGTTTGAATGGTTAATGACCTTTCAAACTTCAAACTGTGATACCAACTATGTAAAGTAAAATTCCACCAAATTAAATATAAGGTATAAAATTAATTTGTTTTATAAAATGTTTGCAAAATAGATAAAATAGCATAAAGAACTCATGTCATAAGACCTTTTGTCGCACTTGTCCATTATAAAACTCGCTCCTTCGTCGCTCGTTTTATAAATTGTCCGCGTGCGACAAAATGACGTCTTACGACATTAGTTCTTTAATATACTATTATAAAACAATAATGGGACATGCGAAAATGTGTGTTTTACGAGTTTCAAAATTAAAAAAAATTATTCTGAAATAACTAAATAAAACATTTTCTGAAAGAGTTTACTAAGGGCTTGTTAGGCTTTCACTTGGTTGTTAAATCAATAAGATCCGATAATTTTTAACAAAGTTATTGGAATTCAAACTTACGGACGGCGGAAGGCGGGTGTTTTTTGAAAACGACCCCCATATTTCCCAGTGTAATAATAAAAATCTACTTCTCTTAGGTGGTGGCCATTGCAATGATGGAGATATACGACTTAAACGACTGGAACCCTGCAGTTTTAAACTCGATTCTTGTCAACGGCGATGATTACTTCAAACAGTGTCTGGAAGAACTAAATCTGGATGATGACACTAGAAACTACGACTTGTCGGTGGACGATTTAAAAGAAGTCGGGACCATTTTCCCGTACCAATTCAATGTTGCCGTCACTGGCGCATCTGAAGGGACCATGTTCATGATCAAGGATAACAGATTCAACCTGCATAATGCCTTGAGGTAAGTTACTAAATTAAATTTGATATATACAATTAAATACTCTGACACTGTCAAAAAACACTACAGAACACTATTGAAAAACACTACTCTGTTCTATCCCTGATAGCAAAATTTGATTTTAAGAATCTTCTAAGAAGATATGACCCGGAATAATGGAATATTTTTAGAAGCTTCCCTTATTGCTAAGAATGTTCTTAGGGACTTTTAAAACATTCAATAGATACCCTTTTAATGATGCAATTAGATTCTTAAAAGCTTCTTAAAAGCTTCCTAAAAAGCATCCTAAGAACATTTTAAGAATACGTTTTTGGAATGGTCTTAGAAGGTTTCTTATGGAGCTTCTAGGAAGCTTTTGAGAATATTTCCAAATATGTCAGATACCCACGTTCTAATATGTTGCATTTTACATTCATAAAATTCTTCAGGAGACGACAAATACGCCTCACTGTCATAATATGACAGTGAAATGTATTTGTCGTCCCCTTAAAAAAATTTGCGACATATTAATACCTATATATTTATTTAAAAATATTAAATAAACAATTTGACCTCTAAACCATAAGTTGTATGACATTATTTCATAAAAAGTAAAATTGGAAAATTTTGTGGGATAAGTCAGATTAGATTGAAATTGAAGATAGTTAGGATTATTATACATAAAAATTAGAGTTTCAAAAAAATTAAAAATTATTTTTTTTTTCAATGGTGTTGAAAAATTAAAAGTTCATTAAAAAACAAAAATGTTGGCGCCTATTTTGGGTGTTGCGAAAACAAACCATTCCAAAGTTATAAGAATTCAAAATTAAAAAAATAAAAATTCCCGTGTTATTGAAATGGAAAAACAACAAATGAATTGAGGCAAACCTTAATATTAATATTAAGGGCTCAAATAGGCGCCAACATTTTTGTTTTTTAATGTACTATTAATTTTTCAACACCATTGGAAATAAAAATAATTGTTTTTTTTAAACACACTAATAAAAATGTTAATTCAGAAATAAAAAATCGGTACTTACAAAATTAATAAATATTTATATTTAACATAAAATAAAATCCCTATAGTAAAAGTATTTTTGTTATCGAATATTGTTTTAACTATAGATAACCATAAAAAAAAATTTTGTATTGTGTTGTTTACTTGGTATTTAATACTAATTACTAATTAGGTACTTAAGTATACGTAGTTTATGGTATATTTTACTATTATATAGGTAACTGAACTAAATATGCTTAACAGAATATTCCTAAATGAACTTTCTATAGCAATTACTTTTTTAACATTCTAAGCATATGTTTAGAGTAGACTAATTTTTACCACTAAAACTTTGCACCTTCTAAGAACCTGCCTGTAGGCCAGTAAGAATATTCTTAGGATCATGCTATATGTCTTTTAAGCATGTTCTTTAGAAGAAATATAGCATGATCCTAAGAATATTTTTTATTATTATTTAAAAAACATTCTTAGAATAAAGTGTGCTATCTATCTTGATAGTATTTCATGTTTTCTTGATTTTTGACTCCCTTGTATAATATTTTTAAATTTAAAGTATGGCACAGACCTTTTAAAACAAGCAGAACTTTTTATGACGAATGACTTTTGGTCGAAAAATGAAAGTTTTAGTCCATTTGTCCTGTTAGCCCTGCTTAAAATACCCCATAGAGACCCATACAAAATAATCTATCGGGCGCTACCGGATTCAATATGTGCATTTGTCCATGGTTTTTTCCGGATACGGCCCGATAGAAAATTTATAGGAAATTACCTATAGGCACACCATAACATTTTCCCTATTGAGACCGATAGCAAATAACTCAATGAAGGATATATAGGGATATCCCTATTATAATAGAACAACTATAAAACATTTGACAAAATTTTATTAAAACCTATGGGGTTCTATAATAGGGGAAAAACTAATTTCTACATTTATGTGTATTTTCCCCATTAAAACCAATAGCAAAAAAATCAAGGGTGGATATTCCTTTAGAATAACCATAAATCCCAACTATGGGTCCTATACGAGGTCTGCTCAGAAAATATTGGGAATTTTCGTTTTTTGAAACAAATATTTATTTATTCGTCTACATTAATGTTGTCGCCTTCAAAATAGTCCCATTGGATATTATGCACATGTGCCAGCTCTTCTTCCAATACTCGAAACACTTCTAAAACTCGATCTTTGGGATAGCCTTTAGTTCTTTCAGCGATGCGCTTTTAATGTCATCTATGCTTGCAAAACGACGGCCCTTTAAGGTTCTCTTTATTGTTGGGAATAGGAAAAAGTCAGACAGAGGCATGTCTGGCGAATATGGAGGCTGGGACATCATTACAGTATTGTTTTTGGACAAAAATTTTGTTCAAAATTTAACAATTTTGGAACAAATTTTGCTGCCACGCGTTTCATACCCAAAACATTCGAAAATATTTCATGGGATGAGCCAATCGATATACCAACATCATCAGCGACTTCTCTGATGGTTTATAACCATTTATTCCACTTTTTCCATGTTTTTATCGGTTGTTAATGTGCTTGTGCGTTCGGGGCGTTCGTCATCTTCAACGTCTTCACGGCCATCTTGGAAACTCTTATACCACTTGGAAACTCTTATACCACTTGTAAACTCTTGTTTTACTTATAGCAGACTCACTATAGGACTTTGTTAACATTTCACAGAATTTATTTTTATTTTTTTAAGCCAAATTGGATACAAATTCTTTGATCCATTTCTTTTAACGAACGAAAAATCGCCGAGCTCATAAAACACGTCCAACCTTAGCGGCTGCCACAGACAAAGTAAACAATGAAAACAGCTAAAGTTTTTATCATACTTCGGGGGCATGTATACCAACATAATAAAGAACATTCTATGACAACCGGACCCTCTGAACCCGCGAAATTTAACAATTCCCGTTATTTTCTGAACACACCTTCTACATACTGATACACCCTATAGAAACACCATACATTCCGATACAAATATCTATCGGTTTGAACAGGGTCTCTATGGGGTATTTTAAGCAGGGATGCACTCTATTTGTGGACATACTGTAGTTGAAATAAATTTTTTTACAGGTGTTTCTTTCAAAGTACTTCGAGGCGCATGGGCATCATTTACGCGGACGGTGAAGATGGCGCCACCGTGAAAAATCTCGCTTTCGGTAAAACGAAAAACAGAGAGTATTTCGTTTTCGACGCCGATACCAGAGACGTGCCGATGTTCATTAAAAACAAAGGTAAAGCTTACATTTTGAGGATGACGACTATAAACAGGCTCACGCATGTGCTAGCGTTAACTCTACGAGGCGGTGGATTTTATATTTTCGATGTAACCATCACCGATTTAAAACCAATGGAGTAATACTGAATTGTGTTGTATCGTGTATTGTTTAAAGTGAATAATAAAGAACGTCCTAGCCTAAATTGCATTTTATTTTACAAACAAAACCCTTATTGAAATCCCAAATTTGGTAATTTTTACAATATCCGACAACATTGTAATAAAATGTTTTTGTAATTTTTTCTTGATCTGGGATTTTTTACACAATCTGGCAACCTCGCAAAATATTTTTCTAAACATCTCGATCTGGGATTTTTTGCACAATCTGGCAACCTCGCAAAGTATCCGGAGTAAATACCTCCTCGCGTTTCTGCTCTCCTAATACAAATTATGAAATTTTAAAATTTAACGCAAAAATATTTTTCGGTATTTTTTGAAAAATTATCTCGATCTGGAATTTTAATTTTAAAAATTTCAAATTTGTATTAGGAGAGCAGAAATGCGAAGAGGTATCTACTCCGGATACTTTGCGAGGTTGCCAAATTTTGCAAAAATTCCCCCGACCTGGGACTTTTTGCACAATCTGGCAACATCGCAAAGTATCCGGAGTAAATACCTCCTCGCGTTTCTGCTCTCCTAATACAAATTATTAAATTTTAAAATTTTGACGCAAAAATATTTTTCGGTATTTTTTGAAAAATTATCTCGATCTGGTATTTTTGCAAAATCTGGCAACCTCGCAATGTATCCGGAGTAGATACCTCCTCGCATTTCTGCTCTACTAATACAAATTATGAAATTATTAAAATTCTCAATCCTGGAAATATTTTGGTGTCAAAATTTTAAAAATTTCAAATTTGTAGTAGGAGAGCAGAAATGCGAGGAGGTATCTACTCCGGATACATTGCGAGGTTGCCAGATTTTGCAAAAATTCCCCCGACCTGGTATTTTTTGCAAAATCTGGCAACCTCGCAATGTATCCGGAGTAGATACCTCCTCGCATTTCTGCTTTCCTAATACAAATTATGAAATTATGAAATTTTTAAAATTCTTAAAAATAGGATCCTGGAAATATTTTGGTGTCAAAATTTTAAAAATTTCATTATTTGTATTAGGAGAGCAGAAATGCGAGGAGGTATCTACGCCGGATACTTTGCAAGGTTGCCAGGTTGTGCAAAAATTCCCCCGACCTGGGACTTTTTGCACAATCTGGCAACCTCGCAAAGTATCCGGAGTAGATACCTCCTCGCATTTCTGCTCTCCTAATACAAATTATGAAATTTTAAAATTCTTAAAAATAGGATCGAGGAAATATTTTGGTGTCAAAATTTTAAAAAAAAATTCAAATTTGTATTAGGAGAGCAGAAATGCGAGGAGGTATCTACGCCGGATACTTTGCGAGGTTGCCAGATTGTGCAAAAATTCCCCCGACCTGGGACTTTTTGCACAATCTGGCAACCTCGCAAATTTGCAAAAAAATCGTATTAGAGACATTTTACCTTGTTTTTTTTTTTGTTCTGAAAACGTAGGGCTTTAACAAAAAAATCAAATATTTTTGGGAAATTTCTTTTATTCAAAATTTAAGAAAATATAAAACTAATTAAGTACAGTGCATAAAATTAATAACACTAAACTAGTAAATTAATTATTATAATTTGTACAGAACACAAAATATCTATATTTTATATTAATAAAAAGTCTTTACTATGACGTACATATTTATATAAAAAGAACACATTTTTTATAAACAACACTGACGTTTAGTCTTTAAAACATACCTAAGCAAATATAAATAAAATAAAATCTCTTAAAAATATAAAAACTACACGATATATACAGGGTGTCCAAAATGGGTGAGCACTTTGGCCATTGGCGGCTGTAAAACGCGTCAAATGGTCAAAAAAAGTGGTAACACATTTTTGGACACCCTTTATTTTAATATGGCTACAAGCGTTACAATTTAAATTGGACGGAATTTATATAAGGCTCACCATAGCATAAAAACACAGGAATTAAGCTAGACATACTAAAATAGTGTACTATTGCGTCCCAAAGTAAATGGTCCCACTTCAAGATTGTCCACAAAACTTTGGGACGCAATGGTACACAGTAAAAATCGATCACATTACAATGTAAATAAAAAAGTGCTTAAAAATACTTAAATTACTTTTTAACCGTATTATCTTTAGTCTCCTTTGTAGGAGTATACACAATTTCCGCGTACTCGGTTTTGTCGTCGTCGTTTTTCACCAGTGGACTTGTATTTGGACTCACCAAGTCCAATTCGGCGTAGACGATACCCTCCTTGGGCTGATCGTCGCTTTTTTTATCGTCGTCGGTGTCTATGGGAACCTTGACGTCATCAGTCGTGTCCATCTCTTTCGTTTCCGGTTCATCCTCTGACGCTACTTTGTCCTTGTTTTTCTTGAAGTACGAGGTCAGTTTGATTGGCGATAGATGGCGCTTTTTGTCCTTCGGTCTCACATCTGTACTTTCTGTGTCGCTGCTGGAAAAATGAGATCATATAAAATTTGAAAGAACTTATTCTTAAAAATGTAGTTATAACTTATAACAGTGCATTGCACAATGAACAAAAATAATTCAATTTATTTATTAAAAATTCAATATATTGAAAAAAAATATTGGAAATTAATTCAATACATTTAAAAAACAATATATTTTAAATTGAAAAAGAATTCAATATATTGAAAAAAATCAATGTTCGATAAAAATACAATATATTAAGAAGAAATCCAATATATTGGAAATAAATTTATTATATTAAAATAATCCAATATGTATGTATATTGGAAAAAATTCAATATATTATGTTATATGTTTACAGTTTTTTTTAAGGCCATGATTTCCAATAAATTGAAAAAAATGCAATAGGAATATTAAAAATAAATTCAAAATATTGTAAAAAATCCAATATGTTAAAAAAAATTAAAAAATTTCAATGTATTGGAAATAAATTCAATATATTGAAAATAAACTAAATATATTCCAAACAAATCCAATATATTGGAAATAAATTCAAAATATAGAAAAAAAATCCAATATATTGAAAAGAAATCCAATATATTAAAAATAAATTCAATACCTATATTGAAACAAAACAATTTATTTAATAAGAATCCACTATATTGAAAAAAAATGAGAAATGGAAATAGATTTATTATATTAAAAAAAAATCAAATATATTGGCAAACAATGTAATATATTAAAAAAATCCAATACGTTATGTTATTTGTTTACAATTCTTTCAATATATTGTAAATAAATTCAAAATATAGAAAAAAATCCAATGTATTGAAAAAAATCGATTTAATTAATAAGAATCCAATATTTAAAAAAAATGAGAAATGGAAATAATTTATTATATTAAAAAAAAATCCAATATATTGACAAACAATGTAATATATTAAAAAAATCCAATACGTTATGTTATTTGTTTACAGTATTTCAATATATTGGAAATAAATTCAATACATTTTAAATAAATTCAAAATATAGACAAAAATCCAGCATATTGAAAAAAATCAATTTAATTTAAAAGAATCCAATATTTTGAAGAAAAAAAATGGAAAATGAAAATAGACTTATTATATTAAAAAAAAATCCAATATATTGGCAATTTATTATATTAAAAAAATACAAAACATTATGTTATTTGTTTACAGTTCTTTCAAGGCCATGATTCCCAATATATTTGAAACTTGCATTATTAAAAATAAATTCAAAATATTGAAAAAATACAATATATTAGAAATAAATTGAATATACAAAAAAAATCCAATATATTGAAAATAAATTCAATATATTGCAAACAAATCAAATATATTGGAAATAAATTCAAAGTATAGAAAAAAATCCAATATATTGAAAAAAATCAATTTAAATAAAAAGAATCCAATATTTTGAAGAAAAAAATGAAAAATGAAAATAGACTTATTATATTAAAAAAATCCAATATATTGGCAAACAATTTAATAAATTAAAAAAATCCAATACATTATGTTATTTGTGTACAGTTCTTTCAAGGCCATGATTCCCAATATTTTTGAAAATAATGCATTATTAAAAATAAATTCAAAATATTGAAAAAAATCCAATATATTAGAAATAAATTGAATATATAGAAAAAAATTCAATATATTGAAAATAAATTCAATACATCGAAAAAAATATATATGTTCTATAAAAATAAAAATATTGATATTGAATAAAAATTCAAAAAATGAAAAACATCAATATTTACGATAAAAATTTAATATTATAAAAAAAATCAAATACTATGTTATACTATTGTTTATAGTTCTTTCAAAGTCATGATTCCCATATATTAAAAAAATGCAATAGAAATAATAAAAATATTCAATATATTAAAAAAAACAATATATTGGAAATTTAATATATTGCAAACATATATTTAAAAATACTGAAAAACCAATATCTTGGAAATAAATTCAAATATTAAAAAAACAATATATTGGAAATACATTCAATACACCCATTGTAAATAAATTCAATATATAGAAAAAAATCCGATATAAATAAATTCAATACACATATTGTAAATAAATAAATTCAATATAATGAATAAAAATTCAATTGAAAAAAATCATTATATTTCCAATCCAATTTAAAAAAAAATCCAATTTTTTGAAAAGAAATATATTGGAAATTTATTATATTGGAAATAAATTTATATTTATATGTTATTTGTTTATAGTTCTATCAAGATTTCTCCCAAGCTTGCTCTTACAATGAAAGCTGCAAAGTGACATAGTGTTATGTTATTATTAACAATAACAACTAACATTAACTTAACTTAACACGTTTATTAGATTTGTGTCTAGGAAAAGACAGTAACTGATCACAGCAGCACTGATGCTGCATCTCAGTCCATTATTGTCACATTCTTAATTCAAACAAAATATAGTATGTGGGTAAGGCTTTCTTTTTAATATATTAAGTTTATTTTCAAAATATTGCATTTGGATTTTGTTTCAATATATTAATACAAATTATTTTATTATAATTTTGTGACCCCTGTACGCTTTTGTAGTTATTGGTAAACTCTTTATAACTTTAATATACTTACGATTCTGCTAGATGTCTCTCCCTTCTACCTATAAAATAAAAAATATTATAAATCTTCTCAAAACATCTTGTGCAAAATAAATTAGTATGTGGTGTATTTTAATAAAAAATATTAAATAAAACAAGTCAATTTTTATTTATTTTTATTTAAAAAAAAAACATTTCATAATCTTCCAACTTAATTCTAACGTCTTAAGTACAATTAATTAATAACATACAAAATTTTTACAATTATAATATAATATCATAGAATTTTTAAATATAGATATAGATACTTAATAAAAAAATCACTTGAATACTAAAGTGGTGTAAGTTAAAATAATTTTTGATTTTTATAAATACATTTATTTTTTATTCGGAATTTTATTGTGTGGTTTTTAACAATGTTGCCATATTTATGTTACCCACAAATTCCAAATAAAAAGTAGAGGAAATAAAAATTATTGTCTTATATAAATTACTTACAACAAAAAATGGAATGTAAATTTTGATCATATTATTTATTGAATACTTATGGCAGTATTTTTGCAGTTATTTCTGTAATAAAGGTTGGTACTAACGATTTAATTGACAAGTTACAGTAGTACCAACACAATATTTATCATAAAAATCCCAAAATCGGTCTGAGAAGTTTTTGATTAAAAAAAGTTTTTTACATGCAAAAAAATCTTAAAATACTAAAATTAAATTAATTATTGAGTATATAAAATGAGATTCAGCAAATAATAATACTTAAAAATATACACAGTGTTCCCTTATAATATACAGAGTGTACGAAAAAAACGAAATGTATTTTTTATAATATTGGACACATTTATGAATGCATTTCCTAAATATGAGTGTTTTTTTAGAGATTTCTTATTTTATTTATTTATTTAGTATTAACAGTTAAGTATATTATATATACATACATATATTTTCTAGGCTTAACTATATAATATAATATCCAGTCATTTAAAAAATAAAATTTAGCGTATCGTCAAGAAAAAAATTATCGCAGTAGGAAATATGATGAGTGAGCAGTACGAGGTTAAGTCAATAATAAGTCCTTGCGAAATAAATAGATGGCGCTAGTAGTAGCAATACAAGTTTGTTCTAGATAAGTGCAATCTGTCAAAATTTCCGAAGTTTACGTAACGCCGAAAAAATGTTTCACAATCTTTTTTAATTGTTACTAAATTGTAGTACTAGTAATATTTCTGTGGGTAAAAGGCATAAGGGGATAAGTCAAAAAAAGCAATTTTTCAATAGAGCCTTTAACGCGTTCGCATTAATTCAGGAAATATATTTAAGTTTAGCGGGTATACGCTTTTGTTAGCATATGACATGTGCTAACAAAAGGGTATACCCGCTAACCATAAATATATTTCCTGAATTAATGCGAATACGTTTAAGGCTCTACTGAAAAATTGATCTTTTTGACTTATCCCCTTATGCCTTTTACCCACAGATTTAAAATATGGTTTTAAAAGTTTGTCAAAGAAAAACTGTAAACTTCGCACCCCTGTAATTTAAGTAGAAAACAAAGAATAATTTAAAGCCAATTTTATTTGTTAAACATTTGACATCTGTCAACTTTTAACGGATTTAACCTCACTTTTCCCTAATTTATAATAAAGCTAATTTCAGTCCGTGACTAAAACGCCATAAAGTCACAGCTTATAAATGGTGGAGTAGAAAAAGGTAAACATTTCTTTCTAGGAGTGCTAGATCTGAATCTGATTTTAAAAAAATTATTTATAATTTTTTTCCCGCATGTTTGATCAGAACCACAGGTTTTAAACTTCCAGTTGTTGTAAACTACTTCCAGAAAAAATATAACTAAATACTGGTCGTTTTTTAAAAAATATAGGTGACACATGTCAAAAATGACAGGTGACAGGTGTCAAAAATAACCACCTGTCATTTTTGACATCTGTCACCTATAATTTTTGACATGTGTAGTTTTTGAAAAACTACCAGTATTTAGTCAAATGAAATTTCAAGAATTTTTTTCTTAGCTCCTGAGAGGAAAGCCAAGATGTTTTTTTTCTGGAAGTCTTTACAACTAGGGTTTTAAAATTTCAGATAAAATTGAGAAATTTTCAGAAAAATTGATTTTTGCATTTTTCCATTTTAATCAAATTGTAAGTCAATTTTTCTGATAATTTCTGATAATTTTTACGGATACTATCCGTACACTGATATCGAGAAAACATTCCGACGATAAATATGATTATAATAATTATTCCTTTTATTTTAATTCAGTAAGAATATTCTACCGGGTCGCAAAAAAACATATTTGGTGCTGTATTAACATAACTTTCGTTTTATTTGACACTTCAATTTATAAAATTCTAATTTTGTATTTTAACTTTATAAATCATCCATTATTTTGTAATTGGGTATTTTCAATGGATTCCTTTTTGCAAAAAAAATACCCAACTGACAGTATACGTTTATTTTTTTTACTGTAAGAATATTTTTCTTTAACTAAAATAATTGTAAGTTGTTGATTGCTACTAATACTGCTGTCTATATTTTCCAAAAACAAATTTTTTTCCCAAAAAAGGCATTTTTTTCAAGGTTTGGGAAAAACAGTTTTTTTCACAATTTTTCAGTTTTTTGATAAAACATGTTTTCTGATGAAACATGTCAAAATAAAAGAAGATAAACAAATTCTGATTAAAAAAAACATATTTGGTGCTGTATTAACATAAGTTTCGTTTTATTTGACACTTCAATTTATAAAATTCTAATTTTGTATTTTAACTTTATAAATCATCCATTATTTTGTAATTGGATATTTTCAATGGACTCCTTTTTGCAAAAAAATACCCAACCAACAGTATACGTTTATTTTTTTTTTACTGTAAGAATATTTTTCTTTAACTAAAATAATTGTAAGTTGTTGATTGCTACTACTACTGCTGTGTATATTTTCCAAAAACAAAATTTTTTCCCCAAAAAGACATTTTTTTCAAGGTTTTGGAAAAACGGAAAAAACAGTTTTTTTCACAATTTTTCAGTTTTTTGATGAAACATGTTTTCTGATGAAACATGTCAAAATAAATAGAAGATAAACAAATTCTGATTACATTTTGAAATTTGCTTGAAAACAAACTTTAAGAAATTGAGAAGAAATAAAACGCACCATGCGTAAAATTAAAATTTTACAATAAATAATTTATCTGTAATTAATTACCTATTGTAGAACCTTCAAAATTAAGATTTGCTTATAAATAATCTGCACAAAACTTTAAAAATCCATATTTGTTCAAAATGGCCGCCGTTCCAAGGTTACCTATTTTTTCACAACCTTCTTGACTTGGGTATCAAATGAAAGGGATTGTCAAGCATTATTTGGCCTTCTGAAAATAATGCGTTTTTCTACTGTTTTCGAAGGACTAATTGACTTACCCTCGTAGGTACATTACATTTCTTACCGTTTAATAATTTAATAAAATTGACCTAACCTGTAAATAATCTTAAATAAATATTTTTTTTTGATTTATCAATTAAAGTACCTAGTTTTTTGATTATTTAACAATTATTTTGACAACCATGTAAAGGAGGTCATTTTAACATTTTTAATATCGCGAAAACAACGAATATACAGAGTTTGACAAAATATCTACATTTTTTGACACACCCTATATGATAAATGATTAAAGTCCTCGTTCAGGGCAAGATTATGTACTAATAATAAATAAAAACATTTATTTATGGTAGTTTTAACCATATTACTTACTAAAATGTATTTTTTGAAATTGAAAATTTGATGAGATTATGGTAAAGGTTGTTATATGAATGCTGAAATAAAAAAAATAAATAAATACATGGTGGTGAAAAAATTGAGCCCTTGGTGCAAAGATGTGATTTTAGTAGGGTGACAATCTAAGCCTACCGTCTGTACACATAACACACACATTGTAACTTAGAACATGCTTTTTGTAACTTCGATTATTTTCCATACTTTTTCGCAATTTTTTTTTTTCGAAAAAATTAAAACCTTTAAGTCCCTACAAACACTTAAACTGCCGTGTCGGTTTTTAAATCTTTCTTAATGGGCAAGTCGTTGCCGTTTATGTATTCTTGCGAGTTATTGTGGTGCGGGTTGTCTACCCCGTCGACGCCAGTGGCGTCGCTATGGTGATGGACGCCGTCACCAGTGGTGTAGTCAATGACAGTGGCGCCCCCTACAACAAGAAAAAAGGGGTCAAAAAGAGTTTTTTTTTTAACTTTAAAAATTTTATTAATGAAGAGTGGTATTAAGGGGGGTCAGGATGAAGCAGACCACATGCATAGACTACACAACCAGGCTAAATACTACAAAAATAGCAACGTATAAAACAATAAAATACAGCTATTTCAAAAATGCAAAAATAAATGGTGTCCTTAAAAAGCACAGTAATGTAAACAAACTCCTCCAAATTTTGTATTTGACTTCAAAAACATTGCCACTGAATGGCAACTGTGTATACATAAAAAAAGTTTATCCTAAAGCATAGCTTAGTTTTTAGATTGTAGCCTTATACGAGGTGTGTTCAGAAAATATCGGGAATTTTCGTTTTTTGAAACAAATATTTATTTATTTGTCTACATTAATGTTGTCGCCTTCAAAATAGTCCCCATTGGATATTATGCACATGTGCCAGCTCTTCTTCCAATACTCGAAACACTTTTAAAACTCAATCTTTGGGTTAACCTTTAGTTCTTTCAGCGATGCGCTTTTAATGTCATCTATGCTTGCAAAACGACGGCCCTTTAAGGTTCTCTTTGTTTTTGGGAATAGGAAAAAGTCAGACAGAGGCATGTCTGGCGAATATGGAGGCTGGGGCATCATTACAGTATTGTTTTTGGCCAAAAATTTTGTCCAAAACATTCGAAAAATTTTTCATGGGATGAGCCAATCAATATACCAACATCAGCGACTTCTCTGATGGTTTATAACCATTTCTTCAACTTTTTTCATGTTTTTATCGGTTGTTAATGTGCTTGTGCGTTCAGGGCGTTCGTCATCTTCAACGTCTTCACGGCCATCTTGGAA